TCTCGTTTCGTTTAAAGAGTCGTCAACTAACGCCGATTTTTACTCCGTTTGTTTTCTAAGCAAAATTTTATTCCTCGCAATTTTCACCGTCTCTTTCAATCGTAAATTATATAAATAATTATAAGAAGTAGAAAATAAGAAAGATGTAGACTCATTGTAAACTGGAAGCCATCCTAAGCCACCTAGGCATTATATATAAATAAATAAATATATATAATTATATAAATAGATAAATAAATAAATTATTTGGAATTATATATAAATGAATAAATAATTATATAATTATATAAATTAATAAAAAATTATCAAGAAACGCTATAATTATATATAAATAAATAAATATAATTATATAATTATAAATAAATAAATAAATAATTATATAATTATATAAATTAATAAAAAATTATCAAGAAACGTTATAATTATATGTAAATAAATAAATAATTATATAATTATATATAAATAAATAAATTATTTGGAATTACATATAAATAAATAAATAATTATATAATTATATAAATTAATAAAAAATTATCAAGAAACGCTGTATCAAATATTTCACATGCCATATGCGTTAGCATTCTTCTCTCACCGCAAATGCAATACTCAACGAGAAGAAAACTCCATTTGTTTAGATTTGCCGGAGCAAACAATTCGTTTAATAGCAACTCGCCAATTTTCACCGTTATCTATTATCTGTCATTCGAGACGACAAGAACAAATGTCCCCCGTGTCTGAGCAAGCGCCAGACATTCACTTAACCGAACGTGAACTGAAATATTCGTTCCAACGAATGGAATCTAGATAAATGACGTTCGTCGACAAACGGAGCTCGTACGATAACCGTTCACTGGTTTATTCTCCTCGTTAACAATTTTTGACTCGGTAAAAATTCGCGTCCAGACAAATGGACGACCGATTCAGTTGACTCGTCCGGTATTCGGTAAACTCCCGTTCCAATGAACGTAATTCAGATGGATGCAGCTCGGATGAAACGTACTTACGAATTAATGTATCAGAAATAAGGGAAAGAGAGAGAAGATGGGCAACGTTCTCATTGGGCAATCGAACCTGAAGAGAGAACTTGTACAGTTTTCGTATTTATTACAGTCTCGAAATCGCGTTTATTTCGTTTACACGAAATCCAATCGGTCAGCGTTGAGAACGTTCGACATACGGCGGGCTCAATTGTGGCGCGACTGGCAGGTTCTGGTCTAGTTATGCGACTGCGACGGCGTGTCTAACGAGATTCAAGATTGCGCTTTCGCACACGGTGCATTATTTCACACAGCGAGAGATCCACTTGGCCGATAAACTTGGCTTGGCCGATTCGGCGAGAAGAGAAACGGATTCGAACGATGATTTCGACGAGGAGGAACCGGTCGAGGAGATTCCCGACACACAACCGTCCAATATCTTTTGTATTTAAACGAACAACGCTTTGTGAACATGCGAGGAGAAAGGGAACAAGCGGCGAACAATCACTTTTGACGAGACATTTTATATCCGTGTAAAAATTTTGTTCCAACGAAACACGTCGGATTTCACAAGCAAGTGTAAAAAATCGTTTCAGAATTTCGTGATCGAAAGTGTTGTTAAACGATATAATGTAACACGAGGATTTGAGGTTGCTAAATTGAATACAATTGTTTCGCTGAGAATATAGATAGATTATTTATAGAATTTTTTTTCTTTTTCATACTTTGACTTGAACGAAGCAAAAAAAGTATCTCGAAGTGCTAATCTCGACTTCGGAAAATCAGCACGAAGAAAAGAGATCTCTGCGCTCTGCCAGTGAAGAATTTATTTTTAGAAAATATCAACAACTGTCGACTAAAAATTTTCATTTCGATAATCATAAAATTGTTACGAAATGTATCGAATCTAGAGGCTCGAAATGTATGATAATATATTTCATCTGTATTCGATTAATTTGATACCTCGTTTTATCCACGAGGAATACCTCTCGAAGAATCGATTGTTATCGACAAAATATCAAAATGATTTCAAGCTTTCATATTTCGAAAATTGGAACTCAAATTAATCACATCCTACGAAATGAACGAATTTCTTTTCCGCGAAAAGTCAATGAATCTAATAAAGAAGGAACGAATGATCGAATAATGGAAATATCGAATTTAAAATAGCCGATGAGAAGATTTGTGTTTGTATCGTGGAGCAAGTGACGGACGAATCTCGAAATCTAAGCGAAAGTTAAACGATGTCGTGGGATTTCAGACGCATTTCAGTTTTCATTAGTATGGCGAGAAATGTGTCATTATTTTTCGATTAATATCGTGTCGCAAATTTTCATCGTCCGCAGATGCTGCCATAACGATCTTCTTACGAAATGTGAATTTTTATTCGAGCGTTTAGTGCCTCGCATTTCAGCAAGAACTTGACGCGTGGAAAACATCTAATGACTTATATTTCCAAGATTCTTCGTTTAATTCTAACTTATCGAGCAAAGAATAATACTCGAACGTCTCAAAAAAATTTATACATTTTCCTGGAATATTTAATTTTATTACAAGTTAAAAGTGCAACGAAAGCACTATTTTTCATTTTACAGTATATATGTACGTATTTAGTTGTTCGCGTTATTTTCAACTTTTCTTTTCATTCTCAAACTTTTTTTTATTCGTCCTGAAATATTGAAGAGATATTGTAGAATCAGAAAAGACGGCTGTCGTTGAAAAATAAAAAAAAGAAATCGGTAATGAAGACGTCACAATTGTTAAAAATAATAGGTCGTCCAAGTTCAAAATGTAGAGTGTGTCTGTTGTATATTCTCGGCGACTGGGACCACTAGATTCCTGACGTATCGAATGCAACAACGCAATTTAAAATATAATTCGCGAGGGGAAAAAGGGAGGGGAAAGCCCACTAACATTTTTTTTTGCAGATCGATAAACCACGTGAAAACAAGTTGCCGACTATATTACGTCAACTTAAAATCGAACATTTATGCGTGCGCCTGCGTTGCAAACACGCGTTGCAACACTTGCACAATCTTGTCTTGTGAAATGTAACGCGGCCAACGAAATGAAAAAAGGGATGAATTTGCTCTCGCGAAAGTACTCGAGCATTTGTTGTTAGAAAAAATATTTTTTGTGTTACATAAAATATTTTGATTTCATTTTTAAGACTGCGATGAAAGAGAAAAATAGAAAGATGTACATAAAAATTACAAGACATCTGATACGCAAACGTATATAATATTGTATATCCAATTCTCCATCGTGTTAATGAGCTGTAATATTGTCTATTGTATTAATAATCATAATATCTTAGACATTAATATTTATTATTAATACTATATATTGTTATTAATTATGTTTATATATATATATATATATTGTTACCAATGTTATTAATACTATATATTAATCATCACAATTATAATATAATTATAATATTTATATATATTACAATTATAATTATAATATATTGCTATAATTATAATTATAATATATATTTATATAATGCTATAATATAATTGCTATAATTATAATTATAATATTAAAAGTAATAATTATAATATATTGCTATAATTATAATTATAATATTAAAAGTAATAATTATAATATATTAATAATCATAATATTTTAGACATTAATATTTATTATTAATACTATATATTGTTATTAATTATGTTTATATATATTGTGACCAATGTTATTAATACTATATATTAATCATCACAATTATAATATATATTTATATATATTATAATTATAATTATAATATTAAAAGTAATAATTATAATATATTACTATAATTACAATTATAATATTAAAAGTAATAATTATAATATAATTGCTATAATTATAATTATAATATTAAAAGTAATAATTATAATATATTAAAAGTAATAATTATAATATTAAAAGCTTATTATAATTATAATTATAATATTGAAACTAAATATACGTTTAGCAACAAGCAATCTTGTAATTCTCACACTTGGTTAATAATCATGTCAGCCAAGTTGAAAATATTACATACAACATAACGTTTAGAAATAATAATAATATATATAAAATAAACAAAAATACATTTGACAAGCGTTCGAATACTTTATGTACAACGAGCCGTTATGTACACAACGCTCGAGGAGAAAATCGAGAGCGACCAGCGTATAATGATTGTGGATAATTCAAGAGAGGGGCCGACCTAGTCGTCAAACTGTGCTGTGCACATGCGATCTCGCAATTGAAATTTGTATAGCGTTGCACCTTTTGATTTATCGCCGGTGTCGAAGGGAAAGAGAAGCGCAATGCTAATGAAGAACGATCGTTTCTCTAATCAGTGTGGATCGGCGAGAAGCTGCATGCAATTCTACAGTGACAGAGGAGTGCAACCAGGATCTTCATGGACGACACGCATGGCGAACTTTTTGACCTGTCGCGTTTTACTTTCGACATTCCGGCTGGCATCACTCTCGATCGTCGATCAACATCGTTCTCTGCGAAAGAAACTGGAAATGGAAGAACGTGCACAGAACGACGAAGTAGGCTCGCGGAATCTCCCTGACTCGAATTTGACTGGGGCAAAAGTATCGTAAATTATGGAAGCTCGTTACCGCACGTTCGATTTATCCTTTGAAAGTGTATCGTTGAAACATGCTTTTCACTTCTTAGTACTTCGCAAACACAGTGCAAATTTTCCTCAGAGATTGAACGACGAATTGTGTTCACTTCGATTAGTTCCAATTAGATTATTAAATCATTAAACTATCAGAATCATTACTAATTTCATTGGTGTTGTTATTATTTGTTTCTCACGTACGAGAGAATGAATCCTACAAAAAGTTGGTACAAAAGAACTGAAACGACGCTGAGAAAATATGAACAAAAATAAATCTGAAAAGAAGAGGCTGCCGCAACTTCTCACGCTCAACTTGGCACGCTCGCGTTTCGAGTTAACTCTGTTGAAAAAAAAAAAAAAAAAAAAAAAAAAAAAAAAAAAAAAACGAACCGATTGTGTCTGATTTACAGAAATGGCGTCAGCGGCGGCAGAACTGGTTGTCGAGAGAGAGCCGGAACCGATAATCGAGATGACAGACACGAATCGAACGTTCGTGGGCGCTCAAGGGCTGGTGAAAATGGCCTTGGACCATTACACGGAAATCCTCACCACGGTCTCGGACCCTCGAGTCAGCGACTGGCCTCTGATGGACTCGCCGATACCAACCTTCTTCATCGTCCTTCTCTACCTGTACGGAGTGACGATACTCGGGCCGCGGGTGATGGCCAACCGGAAACCGTTCAAACTCAGGGGAACTTTGGTAGCGTACAACGCGTTTCAAGTAGTCTTCTCGTTAGGGATGCTGTACGAGGTAAGCGACTCGATTGTAAAAAAAAAAAAAGAAAAAAAAAAAAACTCGATCTTGCGACGATTAACGGATCGGCAACACAAATTGTCGAAAGTAGTTCACCGATTCTCTCTCGGAGAATCGTATCAAGAGATTCAACGGGATCCCCTTTCTGTTAAGGCATGCGATGTTCGCGTACACGCGCGCATCTCGTACGAACTGATCGGAATTTAGAGCAATTAAGAGCATCTTTAACAGCGGCTTCGGGGGAAAAGGAAACCGCGCGCGACCAGAATTTTTGTAATCCACAAACAGAGAGAAAGATCGTTAATTGATCGTCGCTATATTTGGGATCTAGTAATATATTAATTTCCGCGTCGTCTTTCTTCTGTTAACCCTCGCGTTAAGCCGACACTTGGGTCACCTTTGACCCAGAGCTTGAGCGTAGCGAAGAAGCAAAATATTTCAAAGACAGATATTTCTGGAAATTTTAGTTGAAGCCTTGTATAAAAATAATGTAAACATTATCGGGTAACATCCTGTACCAAAAATAGTTAGGTGTAAAGCAAGTATAGCAAAAATTCAGCTACGGGTCGAAAGTGACCCGGTCAATAAATATACCTCTTTAGAGGTTAGTCTCTTTAATCTGAACGCAGATGTTTCGTTACAGTTGAGTAAGAAGCTTCGTGTTTGAACAATCGTGATGGAGATCGCGAGTTCGGATTAAGCTCCGTTAAGCTCGATTTCGTTCGTATCCGGCTCGAGATATGTCTGACGATCGTAGGGAAATCTCGACGTGGCAAGATTTCAAGAACGTTGAGAATGTGCGAGCGCGAGCTTTCTCTAAAAATCATGCGGTGATTAAACGGTTGACAAAAATGCACCGGCCCAAAGGTCTTTGGATCTCGGAGAGAGATCGATGCTCAGAGATCCAAAGTTCACGGCTGTCAGACCTCGAACCGCCTCTCTCCGAAGAGTATCGCGCGCGCGCAAGTAGGTCGCTGGACGAAAATGTCAGCTATTTCAAGGATTTCATTAGGTCTCGCGTTAGTGTGCAACACGAACATACACATTTCTACGATCCAAACGATTTCTACCGAAACAAGTGTTATCAACTTCGATGTAAATCATCAACGATGTATATTTATTTCCACTAAACAGGCAATACGTGATACTAACTGCTACTAACGTAGATTACCAGTAGCACCGGTTGAAGTATTTATTTTCATCGAACAGTGTCTAGCCGAGTCTCTATCGAGCCGAACCATAACCGTGTTCACTGAACCGTAGTGAATCCGGTGGGCGTTTGACGTCAACTGTTTTTACCAAGTCGAATTCGTCTTTTAATTTCGTTTCGGACGTGCTGGAAATCCTGCGAGCTTATCGAGGTCGCGTGCGTGGTGATGAAAGCAACGTTGCCCTCTCAAGAAAGAAAAAAAAAAAAAAAAAAAGAAAAGTAGAACCACGAGAGTTAATAATAATTTTTCGAGCGTGTCCTTCGGCATTCTGGTTTAATCGATGTAACAAACCCGTCTCGCCAAGGATAACCGTTCGAAGGATAAACGTCCGACGAACCAACGTTTCGGCGGCCAGCTCCTCTGACCAAAGACCATCACGTTTTCACGATCGTACATTCAAACAACGGCGTAGAAATCGATCGATCTAACTGACCGTATTTTTTCTTCTCTTTTTTTTTTTTTTTTTTTTTTTTTTTTTTTTTTTTTTTTTTTTTTTTTTTTTTTTTTTTTTTTTTTTTTTTTTTTTTTNTTTTTTTCGTTCGAGGAACAAGTCAACATCGGTTCGATCACCTTGAACTACTGATTTCTGTACTCCCGCGGGACTTTGCCTGTCCCTTCCCCTTGCCACCCAGGTTCTCGACGAGATTCGACCGGAGACGCTTGCGAAACGCGACATTCCGATTTATGTAACCGCTTTGTGCCGGCACCTGTCTCAATCCGCGGCCAACGCGACTCGGCCACTCTCGGCCATTCTCGGCCGAGTAATAACAAGAAACAGTTGATCATTCAAACGGTTTAACAATAAGATTCGTCAACGCGAGGCGTTCCTCATCAGGCTCGTGCTAACAAGCAGTTAATCGACCGTCTCGAAACGCTTTCTCCTCTATCGCAATCGCTCGCGCGCTTAAACCACAGATTTATCCTCGCCTCGCGACGCTCGTTATTGATCAGATCATCTATCTGACACGCACGGAAAACTGTCGTGTCGCTGATTTCTTTCACGATTCGTTTCCCTTCGACTCGACGATCAAACCGAGCTTCAAAGATACTTTATACTTGTGTATATCGCGTGCACGTATAATCTTTGAACGTATAAAAATCCGCAATTAATTTGCTACGTCGAAGGAACAATTCCTTTTTTTTTTTTTTTTTAATTTTTGTCTATCTGATCCGACGGAATTTTCTTATATATGAGGATAAAAAAATACGTCGTTGTAGTACAATAGCTTGAAAATAATAAGATTATCGATTATGTTTCAAAAGTTTGAAGCACCCTGAACCTTTGAAACGAAATAAAAATAGCAAGGGAAGAATATAAATATTTTATGCTAAGATATAAATTTTCAGAATAAAATTTCGCTAATTCTATTAATGAATATAACTGAAGAATATAAATATTTTATTTACGAGGTTAATCATCGAAACTTTGATCAATTAGTAATATACGAAGATAAAATTTGTAATTCTCAAGAGACAGTCAGTAACCAGAAATATTCACTTCGTCGAAATCATTCGAGGATCATGCTCCAAACCTCTGCGAGGTGAGTACGTTTCCAATTGGTTGGCGTTCGCAGGAAAGATGAACTTTTCCAAGAAAAGCAGATCTTCAACCCCGATCGATCGAATGAGAAAGCACAGCGACGTTCACTTATGGAACAGCTGCAAATAATGGAAAATGTCTGTTGCAAGAAGGAAACGATGCCGGCCACGATCCGGAGTGCCTTCTCGAAAGGCCTCGGCGAAAGAAGAAGTCGGTTTGCAACACCGAACTCTCCAGTTAAAACACTGTAGAGTTTCTATTTCAGTTGCTCGGACGGAACGACGCGAAATTCTGCGCGATTCTGAAAGATCGGCGGAGCAATCCTTTCCACCGCGAATCGCGAACGCAGCGAACGATAAAACAGCAGTCGTGAAAAAAAAAACAGAAGAAAGAAAGAAAGAGAAAAAAATAGAGAGAAAGATGAAAAAGAAACTATGTGCACGAGGATCGCGAACCTTCCAGCCGGGTTGCCCAATCGATTTGTACACACGAGCTCGCGGTTCGTTAAAGGCGAAGCATCCTGTTTTCGACTTTCCACGAGCAACGCGCGTTCGCAATTCGTGCGCCTAAACAGCTGCTGCTCGTTTGCAGGATCTCGCGTTGTTTCAGTTAACTGATAGATCCTCGAGACGTTTTGCGAGAATTTAAAGAAGGTCTGAGAATTAAAATGTGGTCAACTACGGAGGAATATGCGCGCAACAATCGATTTGTGGCAAATAGGCATAACCTTTTATAGCATCGACTGTTAACACGTTCTTTCTAGTTTTCTCAAGTTTTCTCGAAACGTTGCGTATCTTTTTTGTGTTTGTTAGGACAAAAGTATTTCGAAATTTTATAAAACAAACGGATGATTTCCTTATTTTCGGCATTGTGTTATATTCTTCTGTGTTATACCTTCATATTCATATTGAATTAAGTTACTTGTAAGTAAATTTTTCATGCCATCCAGATAAATTTCACAATGGTGAATAAATTTAAATTAGTAATTGCAATTTGTCACATTCCAGCATCTCGCAAATGTTCATTTTATTATATATTTCTTTAACGTGATTGCGTATTGTTTCGACATTGAATATCATATAATCGTTTACAGCGGATATAAAAGGTCAATCAAGCCGTAAAAAAAAAAAAATACTTATAATCTTTCAAAAGTACAAAGGAAAACTCGTTTCACATTTTTTCATAGTTACACAATCGACGTAAGATTGACGAAATCTGTGGTGAACAGGCAGAAGAGTAATAAATCAGAATAACGCTCGTCATGTCTGTAACATTTCTGTTGCAGAAAGGCATTTGAAATAATTAAATCATCAGTTAATGAATTAATTTAAATTATTAAATTAAATTTAAAGTGCAACGTAAGATCTGGTGTCAAATTTCTGTCCGACAATATATACTTGATCTCATATTTTAAAATGTCCGTCGTTTGAAGATGATAATTTAAAAATTTTACTTGCACTCTTTTACCAGAAAAATAATATATTCCTTTTTCCCGTGGATTATTCAAATCATCGACGTGTGCATACTTGCCGATGATCTTTCCACCGTCATCTGCGTAACAGATTCTAACTGTCAGACACACCTAAACGAAACTAGCTTCATCCGCGCCAATCTCAGACTACGATCGTACATCGGTTTCCTAACTCGTCGTCCTAAAACCGTACGAGCTAATGAAGAAACTTGAAGGCTTTCCAAACAAGAACGACATTGTAAAAGCTGTCGATTATCAGGTTAGAAAGTTACATACACGACAGATTATTTCCGCCGGTGTGATACAGCAGAAAAACAAGGAATTATCGAGTATCAAGAAAATCGAGCATCTCGATCGCAATCCTCTGAATCAGCGATGAAACAACATCCATTTTTTTCCTTTTTCCTTTTCGCTGCGGGGGATTGCGTTCGATTCGGCTCGAGCAGCGTTCTAGAACCGGCCGAATTTCATTTCGATTGCCTGTTTCCGCTTTGAACTAGAAACGCATCGCGAGCAGGGAGAAACACAAAAAAAGAAATTTCGAAAGGAAGTAAGAAGCTCACGGGCTTGTTTATGGAGAAGGTTTCCTGACTGAATAACCCGCGGCCGAAGGTTTCGAAATATTTCATTGGGAACGCAAAAAATCGCGTTCTCAATTCCAGCTGCAGTCGTGTTACAGAGTGAAGCCAGAGAGGGAGCTGTAAATTATCCTACCACGCGCTCCTAAGCGGTCATTTCTTAAACAGCTGAATCGTAATTAGGAAATCAACGCGTCCTTGGTGTAAAGACTAGCACTTTGGCCGGCAGTTTGTACGAGTGTACGAAATAATCGACGTCCAATTACCATTTTCGCCATGCGTGAAAACCCACTATGTGTGAACGATGATAATCGATGATGCAACTTATACGTCCCATTTTTTACTATTTCTTTTTTTTTTTTTTTTGCGCGCGCGCGCGGTTTTCTTCATTCTTCCTTCGCTTTTAATTGTCACCAATTAATCTTTTCGAAAGTAACGACAGTGACATAAAGTATTTCAATGTATAGCTATATATACTTCATGAATGCAATATTTGTTAACTTTAAATTGCATTCCCAGAAAGACAAACTTAGATAGAAATCCGAGAATTGATTATTAATTTGAAAAATGCAAGCTAAATAAGATCGTATCTGTGAGGTGTTTCCTTCACTAGACTTCCATATTTGAGCCCTACGTCCTATTATATTATGAAATTCATTATTAAAGACAAGAGAGTCGTTCGCGTCGTTGAAATTCGAAGATCGTACGACGAATATTCCAAAGTAGATCGCAGCGAAAAATCTCGAACGTTACGCGACTTCCGAGTTGAGAATGAAAGAAGAAACAGGAAATATCTCCTAAGCTGTTGGACGTATTTTTTCCACGTATAGATTTTATGTAACATAAATATTAATAAGCCTGTTAAACGTATTCATGTCAACGACGTAATTAGCTTGTAAGCTCGTAGAAAAACAATCGAGAATGTATCTTGACCGTGAACTTGTGGTTCGCAGCACCTGATGTCCGGCTGGTTGCTAGACTACAGTTACAAATGTCAACCTGTAGACTACTCTCACAACCCGTCCGCGCTGCGAATGGCGAATCTATGTTGGTGGTACTTCATCAGCAAATTCACAGAATTCGCTGACACGGTATGTACAAAACCTCGTGAAATCTAATTAAAATAGGCTGTCAGACTAAGAAAGCAGGCCCCCTTTTTTTAAAAGTAAATTTTCCTTTTCTTTTTAAAAAAGTTTTTCAGTAATAATACACATATTGCTATGAATGCTACAGTAATATAGATATAAGTTTATTATTAGTAACAATAGTAATAAGTAACAAATCTCGTGAAATCCAATTAAAATAGGCTGTCAGAATAAGAAAACAGGCCCCCGTTTTTCAAAAGTAAATTTTCCTTTGCTTTTTAAAAAAGTCTTTTAGTAATAATACACATATTGCTATGAATGCTACAATAACATAGCTATAAATTTAGTAACAATATGTAATAAGTAACAAATCTCGTGAAATCCAATTAAAATAGGCTGTCAGGATAAGAAAACAACCCCGTTTTTCAAAAGTAAATTTCCACTTTCTTTTCAAAAAAGTTTTTCAGTAATAATACACATACTGCTATGAATTCTACTATAACATAGCTATAAGTTTAGTAGCAATAGTAATAAATAATAATAAACTTTTTCACTTTTATATACAGAAAAAAAAAATTTATACTGACTATAGAAAAGTTTTAGATACGTGTAGAGAAAAGTCATGCAACACCGACTAGCGACATTATAAGAAATTGTAACTGTATAATATAAAGAAACAATTTTTCTCCTTCTATCAAGATTCATTTCAATTTTCTCAAATCTAATTTTTATTAAAACTAGCCTAAGTTGCGGTAAGAAAATCTACGACTAACGAAACTACACACTATACGAAAATATACGACTTTCCCTGTGTTATGAATGTCAATATAAATTATAGTTAAAAGCACTGTGTATATTGAAACATAATTGTCATAATTATACACTGAAAATTTGCACAAACGATACAATATATTAAGTAAAAGATTAACATGCAGCATGAATTATCATCTTAAATATATATATATATATATATATATATATATATATATATATGCCATTGATAGTATAATTATCTTAAATATGATCGAGTTTATTTAATTATATTCTAATAATATATATACTTGTACTAGATATCTTGTGAGATTGATTTCAATCTTGATCAGTATAATCACGTAGTCTTGTAGCAATGCAAATTTCAAAATATTTCGTACATAATATGGTATATTCATAAATATTATTTACAAATATTTTCGTGACTTCGTGTGTAATTAAATATAAATTTCAATCAAACGGGCCGAAAAAATTCTGACGTTATAATCCATACAATTTTACGAATTCTATTAGATTTAGTATCAGATGATCGATCAGTGAGGCGAAAACAGAAGCTGCCGTGTTAATTCTTTCATTGAGAGAACGCGGTGGCGTTTTTGGTTTATCGATTAGCGTGATTGTTCGGTGACCGGCGATCGTCGTAAAAAAGAATCGCGTCGCGGGAGAAATCTCTGTTTGCGATAACATCATCACGTCTAAAGTCTTTGCGTTATGCCTTTCCTTGCGGAATAAAGTCCTCGGGCAAAAGTAAGCTGCGGTGCACGCGAGAATGCGAATTACGCAAACAGATAAAATCCGGCCGAATCAACCATATCAGGCATTTCGGTAAAATAATTCACGTCTCTCGAGTTTGTTACTGGATCGTACGTTTGTTACATCACGCAAAAATTGTAGATTTCTGATGATCTAAAAACCATCTGAAAACGTGGTAATAGATTACGTGGAACCGTCAGGTGTGACGAAAAGTTGTTAGATTTCTTGCAGATCTCTTGTGTTTTCAGTTCTCAAGAAATTATATTGTAAACGATACTATAAACAGACACCACGAAACACGATTGATACACGGGCGAGAGATACTTAACTCAGGTTTGAATCATGAAAGGGAAACACGAAGAGGAAAAAGTAATGAACGATAGTATTGTGAATAGATTTTGCGGAGTTTTATGAATTTTTGAGTTTTTATACAATTTTAGCAAATGCATAACTTTATAGATGAATAGATATTTGTTTTATCCACTGTGTATCATAATACTCTCTTCTAGACATTTTGTGTATTTTATGTATTTTAGTGTCGTTCAATTTTCCATAAGTGCATAAAAATCTGCGCTCTAACAAATGAGCGTAACAGTATTAACTTTGATGAATCTGTCTATCCAAAAATCACAATGAATTATCCGGGATAAAAGTAAAAAGAACGTCTGTCTGTAGCAGCAAATGAAAAATAATCAAACGTTTGTTTATCTAATTATAAGAAACTTATTATCAATTTATAAGAAATTTATTATTAATTATTCCCCAATAATCTTAAAAGTCGTTTTCTATTGAATTCATGTCGCAATATTTCAGATATTCTTCGTTCTGCGAAAGAAAGACAGCCAAGTGACGTTTTTGCACTTGTACCATCACTCTCTAACACCTTTGGAGACATGGATCTGCGTGAAATTCATCCCTGGAGGACACGGTACTTTGGGAAACCTAATAAATAACGCGGTGCATGTAATAATGTACATGTATTATATGGTGTCTGCGATGGGACCGGAGTATCAAAAATATTTATGGTGGAAGAAGCACCTCACTACGGTGCAGTTGGTAGGTTTATTAGTTTGCCAAAAATCTTCTCTCTCTTCAGCTTCACTTCTGTGTGTGTGTGTGTGTGTGTGTGTCAAATGTTTTATTTTTAGTATTAAGCTAATCATATTTCTACAGAAAACAATGGAGAGATCATTTTCATGTTTCACTGTTTCTCTACATCGATTTCTTTCTCTTCCTAGCAGCGTTAGCAAATAATGCAACACGGTCATCCATTACAAATGCAACTGATGCGCATAATCGTTTTTATACGAAGCATGAAGCCACCCAACGGTTGGGTACAATCTCATTGCCTTGGAACAATGCGCATTATCCGACTGAGAGAAAATAGATTCCCTTCCAGCGCATAAATATCCACACCCGATCGAAACCAAGAGAATTCATGAACTTGAAGAAGCCAAACAAGTGGAATATTTTTAGCATGATTCTCGAAGGGTTACGTACGAAGCGCGACGGAACGCGACACTTTAACATCGATAATCAAGAAACGCAACAAAAAGACTCGAGATCAAAGACCTCCTTCGCGTACGAGTTTCTATAGAAAACCACGGTTGTAAGCATGTTGAAACGAACGAGAAAACTATTGAATGACAGCCCAAGATATAGATAATATTGTGTGCTATAGATAAAAATAATACGACACTATTATGCCAAACGGAATGGTTTTTAATTATATGATTCAACAAAGAGAATCTTGTCTTCCATCTTGGATCAACCCCTGAGCGACCTCTTACACTTCGCCTCATTTCTCTTCAACCAAGGATCATTTTCGTTTAACAAGAAGTATATACACCTTGACACTCCGAACAAGTATTTAATACTAGTTGCCAAAATGACAATGTTCGTAAACTTTTTTTATATAAATTTCATTGATTCACAACGAGAAGCAATTTTATAAATTTCTCGTCAAATATTTGAATGAAAGTTTACGTTCTTCATTGTATTGAAGAACTCTCCCCTATCTCGTGCAATTTAATTTCTCCGATACGAGTTTTTTATTTTATGCTTTGGCCTATTTCTACCATCAACGATAAACGCTGAACATTACGAACGAAATACGTACGAGACTAGAAATATCAAAAAAAAAGGAAATCTAAAAAGGACGCGAAATTTCCTGTTGACGACGTTGAATAAGGGAAACGAGGGAGAAGAAGCAAGACGTTTAAAAGATGACGAGCCGGCAATCGTTTGAAGAAAAATCTCGATAGAGCGTTGTTCCAGGCGGTACGTGCACGTGACCACGTCCGAATCGCGCAACAAGCGGCTACCGACGCTAAATGCTTTTTTTTAGAGCGAGATTCGCGATACCTTCTTCTTGCACAACGTGCACGCTACAGGCCCGGCTGGATAATAATCTGCATCGATGAAAGTGAGCGGAGCCGCGACAAGTCGCGAATGCAGGCGTTTGCATGTACGCCGTCGCTGGCAGGGTGCATCAGAGTGCAAATGCACTCGAAACAAACGTTTCACGAATCTGTGACGCAGCACCTGACCGGATAAACCGAACGCGAGTGAGACGTTGTTGCAATTGCACAGCGCTTGGCGAACGGGAGAAGGAAAAAGCAATAATCCGCGACGTTCGATAGAAACTACACGGTTCACCGTGTAGTAAAACGAGATACGCTGTTTCAGGCAAATTGTCGTGAGTAACGAAGATTGAACTGTATTCAAGTACTCGCCGTATATATTTTTCGACGTCCACCGTGTGTAAATATTGCGCTACAAATTATCGAGTTACGAAGCTATACGAAGAGTTGAAAGTAGTTACTTTTTGCACCTGATATCGGAGAGCACAAGAGCCAACATTGCGCCAATGAAACGTGTTTCATTCGCAATATGTATTTTTTCAATCGATTTGTATTACCAATCTCTCAACACCTTAGCCGGAAAAAAACGATTTCCAAGTTAGTGATTTCTTCAATACTATATTGCTTGGTCCTTGCTTGACGAACGAAAGACAGAGAAATAATTATTCACCGACTTAGAGACCCGACCGAATGTTCTCAAATATTTGTCACCCTCGACCGCGTTTCACATTTTACAACTCTTGCTCAATTTATTAAGCCTTTTAATCTCAACGAAACCCCACCTCGCCTGACCGAGCGAACTCGAGTAAGATCTTGCAACAGAGACCATTAAATACCCATTAGTGGCTACAGTAATCGTCACACTCGTCACTTGCGCGTTAACTGAACTGAGCAAGTCTTGTATTAGAATGAAAATCAACGTGGACGCTCGAATGAAAATCAAGAGATCTCGGGATCGAAATCGCGATTACGAGATGGAGTATTTTCGGGAGAAGAAGAAGCGGAGGAGGAAACGAAGGAAGCCATATGTGGCGAAGGACCCAGATTGTGGCGGCATCAATTGGATTCGATGGATTCTGGGCCATCGGGTTGGCCATCCATGCAAATCGGTGAACAAAATTTCACGCAAACACGCGGCAGGGGTGAGGGAAAGTGAAAAGTACAACGTTGGGCAATTGCAGGCTGACTTGCTTTGGCCAGGCTCGGCCAGCTACGTCGCGGTGGCGCAACAATTTGGCATTCCGATATCGTAAAGCACTGGTGCCACCACCACCACCATCACCATCGCCATCGGCCCGTGTACTACCACAAACCGGCTGCATGCCTGCGGAGTCTCACCTATATGCTCTCCTACCTCGCTTTTATCTCGCAAGAGCCATTGATTTCCCGTACGGTGGCGCAAATTGCTCAAAGGACAAATCCTGCCGTGTTTCTCGTATGACACGCGCTTCTCTCCCTCATTTACATTTGCGATTATGTATCCCCTGGAGGATGTTCCGCAATCGTCCGCCATTTAGAATCGCAACGTGGTTTGCGGACCGATTCGGATGAAAAACAATGTGATGGCCTTTGAGATGCGAATTGGACGAATGTTCGAGATACAAACGAAACACTCGCGAGTCTTATTGCTCATTGATAAAGTTAATCAAATGAAATTCGACGTTTCATTGTTATCTAATATCTAGTAGGAAAATTATTGTCTGCGGCGAACATTATAAGTAATAACGCTGCGATACGATGGAATTTCATCCGCGACAGCCTTAAGGCACTGTTGACTTTTACGAATGGACAAAATGGTAATTTACAGAGTTTCTTTTCATCATAGTATCCTCGTAAAAATTGAACAGGCAAATAGGCTGTTTTACTTAACAAAGGAACCAGTAACCATACTTCGGGATAATACCCAGTTTCTTTTCCACGGTAGTTATTTTATTTCACGAGCGTGAAATTATACGTCACACAGCTGTGCAGTTTTACTTCCCACCGATTAATCGATTGCAAAGGGTACAGCCGTTGCGTCACATTGTTTAGAAGAATTTTGTTCGAACGGCCTGTGCAAGCTGTGCAAGGTATAAACGATTATCCTTGCGTCATTACCACGGTCGTAAATAATATAGTCCACTAATTCGATGATAGCAGCATCGTCGTGATATAATTCGGGTTGCGAGATTTTTCAGTTTTCTAGCAAAGAGAAAGGCAAGAGCGTTTCTCAGCAATTGTTGTGATATCGCCAAATTTCTCGGCTCGAAGAGACAAAGTGGAGTACCTATTACTTCGCTACTCTGAAACAGTTTAAAAGAAAATACAGACAATTCAACTCACCCTCAGCACGAAACGATTTGACGATTCAATTCACTTTGCAGGTGCAATTCTTCTTAGTGTTCGTGCACAGTGCTCAAGCTTTAGTCTTCGATTGCGGTTACCCTAAACTGGTGGCAGCGCTTCTTCTGCTTCATTCGACGATCTTCTTCGCCCTCTTCTCAGACTTCTACCGTCAAGCGTATAACAAAGACAGAACGAAGAAGAAGCTGAAGGACGAATAAACGAAGGACATTATCGCGCGTTTTTTTTTTTTTTCTTTCTTTTCAAATTCATCCTCCGATATGCTCCAACGCGTCGATCTCTCAGCCACGATCGCGTGCACGATCGAAAATCACGAATTCGGTTTAAATGAGCAAGAAGCATCTACGAAAATTTTATCACGTCGTCGTGTCGAAAAATCGTTATCGGTAGGTACGAATTGTGACAAAGATATTCGAGTTATACGTCTGGATTCGTGAGTTCGGTCGTCTGGAGGATCGAAACGATTGTTCGATTGGAGTGGAGCTTACAGATTTCCTTCCGTATGGAAGAGGATTTCACTCGTTATCCCTCCTATCCTCTGCAGGGCATCTCAGGTTTCGCGAACAGCTCGGACCAGGGCTTCCGAAGCACTCGCTCTTTGAGAAAATCTCGATGACTAGCTATTCGAGACGGATACGGGTAACATTATCGTTCAAATTAACGTATTTAATGTAACGAACGATCCAAGAATCTTCGGTAAAAGCAATCGAGATCTGTTTTCAGCTCATGGTTTACGTTCGCGCGAAAAAAAGTGCATCGAAAACCCGTAGAATCGACGTAGCTTGATACATCGATCGGTCCTTGGTGTCGTCAATTCAGTGCACCTTTTCTTTTTTTTTTTTTTTTTTTTTTTTTTGTACTACAGATGCTACGCGTCGCCGGATCTGTAATTAAGATTACTGTAAATAATAGGATTAGTAAACGCCACGAGGTATTATCCTCGCGGTTTTATTTAACATAACATGCGTGTTTTGAGTCAATTACAAGATATAATTGTCAACTTTTATAATTGTTAGAAGAAGGAGCTTAATTACAAGAGCTTTTCTTTAATTAAGTTAATTAACTTAATTAAAGAAAAAGATTCATTCGTTTAGATAGAAAACAAACGTTCAATTGAATGTTCAACGATTCATCTCACGAACGTTCAAGCTCAATCTTCTGATTTCATTTATTTATATCTTTCTCATTACTATTACTATAATCGCGTGCTTTCGAGTATTTAAAGCAACCTCATAAACGACGAATCAGAAGTGAATATGCTCGCATATTGCACGTAAGATTAAAAAAAATGTATAATAGCGAGTCAACGTCAACCTTCACATCTATCGCTGAAGCAGAAACACACATACATGTGCGTGCACGTACGCATAGATACACTGCGTGTATTTTTAAAAATGAAATTTCACCCACTTATTGACATAACCAGGCTCCGCTGCCATACATGAACGCACACGACAGAATTTCGCATTGATTATCACAAGAACTTTCCTGTCAATATCTCAGTGATAAAAGAAAAACGATTCACGTCGTCGAGAAGAGAACAATTATCACTGAACAATGACAATAATGTTCGATTTGTAATTGATTGTCGCTGGTATAGCAAAGACTATTTGACAAACGTGTGTAACGTGTGAGAACAAAAGAAAGAAAAGAATGATGATGTGTCGCTACGCGTTGCTCGCCGAAGATTCTCGGGCCTACATACATTGGGGGTTAAATGTCACTCACTCGATTTTATAAGAGAAAACAATGAAAAAATAACGGAACGTTAACGATAAGCGACAACCTCCGTTACAAGCAGGTGCGAAACTTTCCTCGAAAGCCAACAGAGTAGAGGCACTCTCTACTTTATCGATTCATTACACCCCTTCAAGAGGGATGGGCAGAGATGCCCATCTCTGTTGTGAAAAACGAGCGGGAAAAAAACAAATCTGACATTTAGCAATACAATAATTTGTTTAAGGATCTATCATCGAACCTCATTTTAAAGTTATAATTTATTTAGTGTGCACCGCGCATGATAGAACTCTCCTGTAAATATGTATTCTCTTTTATTTCTTTTGTAAAATGACAAATAAATGTTAATAATTTATTTGCAAGACTCAAGACCCTTTTTAAGACCCTTTATCCGTTTAAAAAATAGAATAAAGAAAATACAATCCTAGATACGCGTATATTATCAAAATAGAATGAGGCCGAAATTTTTTAACTGAATAAACAAAACTTAAACTGAATATCAAGAAATATGCCACTTTGGTAATATTAGCATAATATTAGTTAATATTTGTACAATATTAACCAATTATTTATTTAATTTAATGATAAATAATTAAAAAAGTACTTTTCATAAATAAAAAAAAAGACGTATCTTACGTGCATTTTTGACACATCTTATATATAACAATACATCTTATATAACAAATACATCTATATAACAAATAATTGTGGCATATTACTAATAAGAATAACGATGATAATAAAAATATCGATATTTTTATTTATTAATTTATACCTTAAATTCTTTATTATGACCACTTTCATAAGCAAACTGCATATATATTGTCTATATTCATGTATGTATAATCTAAATGTGTTAGGTGCGTGTGGAATTTAAGCTGCTGCTGCTTCCAGAGCCTTTTGCTTCCTGAGTTCTCTGAGACGAAGTCTACGCTCTCTTTCATATTCCTTTGCCCTCAAGATATCACTGTAATATATACAAATTATTATTATCAAAAGGTGTTTATAGAATATATTAAATAAAAATAATTTGTTAATATTTTTCAATGAAAACCTACTCCTCATATTCACATTGGATATAGTGATGCACTTCATTATAACAACGTGTTACAAAAGGGAACTCTTTCATATAACAACGTTGATAATCCAAATACTTATGAGCACAATAATCTCTTAAATCGGTAGGAACTTTAGCAGCTATCAAATCTTCTTCGGATATACCTGGCGTAACTGTAAAATAACAAACAATTAGACATAATACATGACAATCAAATTGTTTCAGTTAATTATATTCTTAACAGTTGGGTAAAAACTTCATATAAAAATCAATATGATATTTATATTCTACACTTATGGTAATATTAGCAAAACTGTTCATCAAAATCAACTGTCGAAAGTTTTATTCATACTGTTATGTCACTGATAAAGTATTTATAAAAACAAATATAATAGGGATAATATACCTCAAATAACAACAAAAAATTGACAGTGTTAAAATACATATTAATTGATCATGTCGTTTACACAATTGTAGACATATAAAATGTAAAACATAAAGATCAGTATTCTAAGTGTACTCATTAAAGGTTAGGTTTATATAAAATATACTTGCCTCTTTTTTTACGCTCCCCTTTAAATCCAAACATTGGATCAAATGTTGGATCTGTGTCCATTTTCGGAAATGGATCGCTACTAAACATTATTTGAAACGAATTCCCCATTTTTCAATATATTACAGAACTACAGCAGAAAGAATAATGTAGAAGCAAAGGGGAGAATTGCTACAACGTATGGTACTGACACCTAGTAACACTTACGTAACTTAATAAAAAACATACATAAATATTCAAATCAGAATACATAAATCATATTTGCACATTACGAATATTGTTTTACATGGCATTGTTTTACAAAACATTAATGTACAAAAGTATTATATTTTTCTGTAAGTAGTTTATTGAAATCTCACTGAAATAAATACACATGTAGATTAAAAATAATTTCAGAAACAACAATCATACGACATGTTTATAAAATCGCTTTTCTCGGACCAATTAAGGAATATAATAATTTTATTTTTACATCTTCAAATAATACTGTATTTGTGTGTAGCACATACATTCTTATTAGCTTAACAACTGTTCATGAGTTCCATCTATGATACATAATTATGTACTTACTTCAATAAACAAAACTTTTCTTGCTTCATTTAGATCTGAAAACAATGTATAAAATAACTTAGTCATCTTCTTCTTCCATTGCTTCGGGTATTATATTTCCTAGAATAATGTGCAAGGTTTTTCGTCATAATCAAAAACACAAAAATCACAATAACTATGTTTTTAATCAGTTACCATTTTGTAATCTTTCTTCACTAGGCATATGTCCAGCTTGAAGCAATTTGCTAAGGCGTTGCACTTCTTCAAGAGAAGAAGCATTTGTAATAGCTTCCCTTATTTTGTTACGTTCCTCTGGGGTTATCAATGGCTTATCCATAGACATACCGGAGGTTTGTGTTTTTACTTTCTTTGCTATTTCACGAACCATTTCCTTTCCTCTCTTACTTCTAAAATATGTAACTGCAGCTTCACGTTCTTTCATCTTAATTTTCCTAAAGTCTAAAAGCCTCAATTGTGGAAATCTATATACAACATATTGTCTATACTGAGGCTTTGCAGATACTGGATTTTGTAGTAAACAAAGGTTTGTTAAATTTTTTAATTGTGTTAGTGGTTCTAAATCACCAAGTTCTTGAATCATATTTCCAGTTAACATAAGAGTTTCCAAATTTGGAATGCAATGTTCCAATCCTTCGCCAATTCTGACAATACGATTATTATTGAAAAAAAGAGTTTTAATTCTTTTTAACAGAGGAAATCCATCTAATTTCCTTATATCATTATCAGAAAAATCAATAGTATCAAACTGATCCTGAAAGAGATTATATTTTATAAAATAAAAATAATATATTTTGATATTTCAAAAAATTTTTTTAAATATATCTTCTAAACGAAGTAATTGGTAATTACAAATAATGATCAGAATAAAAGTACATAAATTATTAAATATATCTTCCAAATAGTATTGATAGTTACAAATATAAATAACAATCAGAAAAAAATTCATAAACAGAAATACATTTTAAAAACATTATAAAATTAGAATTTATTGATTAAAATACTAACCAGAGTTGCGCCCAAGTTCTCAATTGTAGGTATTTTATATCCTGCAATAATAAAGATTTGAAAATTAACTTTAAAGTTAGAGAATTAACAATTTCTAGGTTATATTTTATCAACATAATTTACTGACCTCTGAGATCTAATTCACGATCTTTTACAGGATTAATATATTGCATGGATTGTTGAATCAAATCTGGCGTTAATTTAACCATTATTTAATTGATAATATTAACCAATATTATCAAATAAAATTGATACAAAATTCAACCTGATAGCAATCAGAACGAACTTTCCACACGTTTCTCTCTGAAGTTTTGTGATTGGTAGGCTTGATTTTCACCGCCATAGTAACTTTATGGCAATCAGAAACAAAAGTTTTTAAATATACTATATGTATATAATTTGCTGAACGCGGAAATAATTTGCAAATATAACTAACAAGATAAATTAAGTGTGAATATTTGATATGAAAATTTCATATTTCATTTCTTACCCATATTACATTTTCATATTACATCATATGAAAATTGATAAACCGGACATCCAATACTTTTTCGTGTTCCATTATTTTAGATGTCCCTTACCATTTTCGTGTCACATCCTTACCATATCGATTTAAGCAGATTTTGCACTGCAGCGCTACTAGTAATAGGAATTAAAATCAGAAAATATGAATAATACCAGTTGCACGTCTGTATTAATGATATAAATTAATATTATTTTTATTAAGAATGTATAAATATTAATTTATCAATAACTAAATACAATAAATGAAATGCAAGAAAAGTCTATTTGAAATGCAAGTAAAGTCATATGACTTTATATGAATGATATGATTTATCACGAATCTACTACGTGAGAATAAATTAATTTACTGACGTAGCCGATTTGATTTTATTGTTTGAAATGTACGATATATGCATTTATGTGTGTGAAAATTTCATTAACATTAAAGATTATATTATTCAAATGATCGATATAACATCCAATATCAAAGTTCAATACTATGATACTCATATTATAAATTCTGAGTGATTCGAATTGAAGAACATATCAAATAAAATCAACTCTTAGACAAGCAAAATATACATGATTATCGTATTTTAACTACAATATACTTTCAACAGGTTTTGTTCTTCTTTCTCTTTTTTTTTTTTTTTTTGTACAAAAATTATCCGATAGAATTAATTGCTGAGATGATTAAATTTCTAGGCTTGAACAATCGATAGTTTGTTCATGAGAATATTAGTACGAATATCATATGCCATCTGTAAATACGTACAAACAGTAGATATGTATATCTATTTGAAATGTTTTCTAATTTGAACACGAAACGAGTGAAATTATTTATCCATCTACGTCATATGAAAAAGAAATGAGGAAATTGAAACAATTAACATTTACTATGTAAATCTTAAATTAACCTCAGGTAACCCTACGCTTGAAACATTTAAATCTTGATCAGGCACGTGTAAGCCTAATAAGATATTTTCATATAAATTAATCCATAGCATTATAAGAATTAAATCTTTAAATATTTCATACATTTGTATTTTAAAATTGAGTCTGATTAATTTTCATAAGCATCTGACAATTAGATCCGAGCAAGCCTTCTGTTCCCAATTTTTTAAGTTCCTAATGAAAATTTTATCGATTTGAACTTCACGAATTCCTGTTCAAATTTTCCTACGTACATTTCCTATTCCTAATTTCCAAAATTCAATTTGATTAGTTCTCTCTTATATACATATGGCGATCTACATTTCACGAATCCCTATCTTTTCTTTTATTCCGCTCCCTTTTTAAGAAGTTTCGATGTCGTCTTAAAATTTTACGTATAAAACAAGAGTCAAATATTTTCAAAGACGTGAACTTGATCAGCAGTAAATTTATTCTGAAATTATCACGTCAAAATAAATGCTAAATGTATCAAAACACTAAATATATAATAAAATATAAAAGTCTTAAAATCTCTTGGAATATTGTTCCAAATGAACGTCATCGAATGTAAAATGAACTTTTTTAAAGGTATTTGTTATTATAATGCTACCAAAGTTTATCCATATTATTTACAGTAATTAATAAAAGTTTTATTCAAAATAAATTTGATATTTACTTAATCGAGCTCTAGGTATATTTCGTATGATTCGCATATATTTTATCATTATATTATTTAAATACTTCTGCTTCTATAATTAAATACTTCAATATTTTATATTCATCACAAATTATTATAAATTCATACGTCGTTCTTATCCAATGAATATGGAAATTCAGTAAGTATAGATAATTATAACTGATTTACGTAATTACATACTTAATTGACTTTGATAATTTTTGTTTCGTAATTCATTTGCGTGAAATTTTAAATAGAATATGCGCAAAAATTTAGGTAGAAACATACGATTTCAAGAATTCCAGCGACACTTCATGTATCAGTTCATTTTATTAATCGAATAATGACATCTCATTCGATACGACAATAACGTTTTTATTATTTCATGATAAATGGAAAGAATGTGAAGCTTTGTAAATTCAAATACGGACTGAACAAAGATTCAAATGCAAATGCGTAAATAAATTATGTAAATAACCAAACGCATCAGAATGAAGACGCAGAAAATTGTAGAAGTATGTTGTATGAAAGGTTGACAAACATTCGTAGCGATGGTTGAAAATTTCTTTTACATTCGCTACAGTAAAATGTAAAATGATTAAAAGCAAGTAAAATTCGTTCATTAAATATTAAAACTGCGCACACAGACATATACTTTTGTATAACAATTGTAGAAGCCATTTTTTTTCAATCATTGGTAAGTCGAATTTCATAATACAAGGATTTCAATTACATAAGACGATCGCTCCATCAATTTTCGGATAGTAAATTTAAGAAGCAGAATCGACATAAAGTGATCTTTATATGATCTAAAGTTTGAAAGTGTATCATCATCAGCACTGTCTCAATCATTAACTTAACAGTTAAGAGCACATTATACAGAAATAACGGCATTTGAATTTGTAGAAATCCTTAGAAACGACATTTGTTCATGTAGACATTTTTTTTAAATAATTTCGATAGTTGTATGTCATGAAATATTATAATAGAATAACTGTAGAAATATCAGATTATAAGAAATATCGAAATTTGTAAGAAAGTTATAGTGTCAGTACAAAAATCATCGTGAATTGTTGAATGTTAAATATATGTAAATTCTCCGATTAATTGCTAATGCAATGCAATTAATTGCATATATGTTGCATGATGTATGTACGTCAATATATTAATTGCGGCCGAACGAACGCAATCAATTAATAAATGTTTCTTCCTAAAGTAATATTGATAAAAGTTTTTGAAAAAAAATGCAAAATTATTATATTACATTCTATTGCATAGTACTGTAATGCCAAATGCATACATTGTATAATACTATAACACTAAATGCATACATTTCTATATTTCTTATATTTGTTTTGAATAATTCTCGAGATAATGTATTAATGGATCGTCATTTACTTTTTCTGTTTAGTGCGCAGTTAACTGAAAAAATGTAATTAATTTACTCAGAAATAGTGCAACATTCATGATGATAATAATAATGTTAGAATTACTGAGGAAAATAGTGTAAAGTTCAATCAGCCGTGTCTCTGATTTTTAATCATCCTCGATTTTACAGATCATTCGAATACATACATAAAAATTCTAGTATTTAAATTACAAACAAACAAAATTTATAATAGTCTAAGATAAAATTTATAATAGTCTAAAATAAAATTTATAATAGTCTTGGCCCGAGAATCATGCATACTAACAAAAACATTCTTATATTTTTATCTCTATATTTCTATATTTTATATGTTGCCTTGAGATATTTTCACACGTGAGAAAGGTAGGTTCCTATGTCGAAAATGACATAGAAAGGTTAAGTAAATTTGTACACTTTTAAATATCTTAAAATAATTGTTAAAAATAGTTAAAATTTTTTGAACAGTAGGCGTTTAAAACTTCTTATTATATTTTAAACACGCAATTCCCACGTGCACAGAAATAAGATTTAAAATGTAAGGAGAGCGGAAATGAAATTGACGCAAATCGAAAAAAACCGCTTTCTATTTTATACACAACAGCCATAGATAATTATTAGATAATCCAGTATATAAATTTCATTTCCATATTTTCTATTTTTACAGTAGAATCATATTCTCCGAGCTATTTTAAAAAATTAGCTAGTTTTCTACGAAGAATCTACATAATATTAAAAATCTCGTACAGGTAGTTTTTTTCATTACGATGAAGAAACATTATCTATACCATGAGGCCAGGACAAATTATGCGAGTAACTTAACTAAACCGAGCGGTATTAGAGTTCCAAGTCAAATGACAAAGAACAACGTAAACAAACAAACCAAAGGGGTTAGAATTACTCGTGTAAATAACCTACTCCACTCGTGACCATATCGTGATTCGCGTATAATCCTAGTTGAAGTTTTTCCAGTTCACTATCTTGCAACCAATCAATCGCGTTGCTCGTAAAACAAATATTTCGACTATTAAAACGTCGTTTCACGACTACAAGGCTAAAAAAGACCGATTCTCGCTGCAACAGATACAATAAATGGCGGATTAGCTCGTTTTAACGATGGCACGGTTTCTACACAATCACGGTTTACAGAATCCGTTCTGTTTATGGGTATAACGGAATTCGATCCAAATTGTTAAAAATATCGATACCTTTAGTTCAAAAATATAATAAATGAAACAAAAATTAATAAGATTAATATCTCACCAAGAGTGTCAATATTTTTAATAATTTGGTGTTTCGACCGAATGGCTCGATCAAAAAATAACCAAAGGAAACCGAAATATTTCGAGATAAGTAATTGTATAAATATGTCTAAAAATTGACTATTACGCGCTTGATTGATCGGTTGTATTCTTATTCATTTCAAACTAAGGATACCAAATTATTTTGGACAATTTAGAATATTTGGTGTTTCGATCGAATTGCTCAAACGAGAAATACTAGAAAGTAGCTTTAATATTTTCAATCTGGGAAACAGGCAAGTAATGGATAAATATATCAAATAAATATAATTGATTAATTATAATATACTTAATTCTAATTAACCATTTACATATTTAATTACGCGCGTGATTAATTAATTTTCTTTTTAACTGAAAATATATATATATATATATATATATATATATATATAATATAAATATATAAATATCTTGTAATTCTCGCTCCGTCACCTTGTGTCCATCGAAGATGACAATTTACTAAGTGGAAATATGAAATTTTCCTATATTGTCCTCCTAAAATAATTTTCCTACATACCAACTGAATCAAATCACAGAAGGATTCATCAATCTTTGATACTTACATGAAAATGCAGGAAAAATCTCTCGTATTTCTTTATCAAGAATATGTTTATATCTTTTCTCCGTTAACGAGAGAGACCACCCAGCTTCGTAAATCAAATCACACACGATTGCAAATCATATGTAGAAAGAGCTAATGGTGCCTGAGCGCGAGGATGTGGGTGGCGTGCACACCTATCGAATACCAATTGTTATCGGCCACGCATCGTGACTGGCAATGGTATAAATAATCCCGCGATTTGTAGCGGTTACATATCATATATCGCACCATGTGGTGAAAAATCCATTGGAATAAATAAACTTCTTCGTCGATGTGATACACGTATCTTATTTCTTATGTGATATTCAAGTCGAAGATGTACTTTAGTGTTTTCGTATGAAGAGATCAACGAAACGCTTCTTTGATCTTTTGCGAGGAGCGAGAATTCGATAAAGATGCGCTAAAGTCTCAAAGAATGGAAAAAAAAAAAAACATTGAAACTCGGATGAACTCGTTTCAACAAAAATGAAAACGATTGTTATGAACTCGCGTTATGAAGCTCGATGGCGTTCCTAAACGTTCTCCCTCTCCCACGATGTGAGAAAGATCATCGCACTGGGCACGATCGCAGGTTTTCAAGGTTAAAACTGGTCCACCTTGCGGGTAATTTTTACTCGAACCGTCTCTGCGTTTGGTTACCCGTCTGAATTGTAACTAAATATGAAATATGAAGATGAGCGTTTCCTTGACCTAGACATAAATTTTTATAGGTCAAATGCGTCTGAAGTATAACTAAATATGAAATATAAAATATGATGATACATGAGTATTTTCTAGACATAAATTTTTACATAGGTCAAATGCGTTTTTAACACACAATAGAAATTACTTATTCATATTATAATCAAGTCAATTCCACGCCATCCGTTACTCAAGTCAGTTACGCAATATTCGCCGAATAATTGAAAAATCATATTGAACAACATCCACACATCATAACCGTGGAGATAAAGCGTGTAATCAATTGCCGAGAGGTCGTTGAACGTGCGTGTAATCAATCATTGCGGCGAGATACTTTTTGGAGACTGAGCGAGAGAGATGTTGGATAAGAAGGCCGGCAAAAACGGAGAAAAAACAACATATTCGCTTACATTATTAGACAAGTTGTAAAATAATGTAAGCGAATAGTTGGCTGCTTCCGCCGTTTAACTATTACCCGAGGCTCTTGAATTTGATTACTCATTTGAATTGATTGACGACGTAAATTCCTACAATGACATATTTATTATTTATGTATATTTATGTATTATTTCTTATATTATTTATTATATATGTTTCCACGTTAATCTATGTTGGCAAATGAAATCGAATAGGAACTCGTCGATTCAATCAGTCGCCATGTAGATTTCAAATTCTAGAGATCGATCGTGATTTCTAGATTATTCGAAAAGTAAAGGACAACAAATGAAACTGATTTAAATGATTAAATTCATTAATCCAATTACGTCAAAAATATTTCAACATTCATATTTAAATATGAATAACACGGATGATTGATCAATTAAATACGTTATAATTTATGTTTGTGTAATGTATTCCTTGCTAATAGCTAATGAAAACATCTTCAAGTCAACGAATAAAAAATTTCTACAGAGAAAGCGAAATGAAGATGCAACGGACATTTACAATGATGAGAAGAGAAGCCGGTTTCGGTTTGTTTTTATCAGATAATCGAGAAAAAATATTTAACATATACAGAATTGTCTGAATATGTTAAATATACCAATTTTATTCCGAAATCTGGATTTCTTCCAAAGACTAGTTACGTACATTTTCTCGAAGGCTCAAGAATGAAAATATTCAATAATTATCAGCTTAATAATCGTGACGTAAATGTACGTTTCCATAAATTAATAACATTTAATAACACTGTAATGATAGATACGACATATAATTATAGTGCTATATAGACTGTAATATTATAAATTCAACATTGAAGGAAAATCAGATCAATTAAAAGTGAACGTGTCACACACAATCACAACGTAAACACGTGAAGCATAAAATTTTTATGACAAGAAAAAAGAGAGAAGTTTTTATGACAAAAAAAAGAAGAGAGAAGTTTTTATTTAATAAGAATTTCACCAAGTTTTTATTTAAATACATTTACTTAAACACATTAATACATTTTCAATGAATGTTCGAATATTTATACTTATAATTAAACTACAAATGGACAGATAAATATTTATAAGCTACGGCACGACGATGACTTTCAAATATTAAATTTCAGAAACAATCGAACAATGTAATTTAATGATTAACCCAATGAATAATTTTATTATTAAATTCTATATTATATATATTCTATGTGTCTATATATTCGTTAATCCAATGAATAATTCTATTGTTTAATTCTATATTATATATATTCTATATATTTAATTTTATTATATGTATTCTATATATTCTATATATTTAATTCTATATTTTACATTCTATTTGACAGATGATGAAATTAAATCGGCTAAAGAAATTCCAAAATTGAGCAACGTGGAATCGAAATTTTTACGGCTACCAATGACACCAGTTGAGGATCAATTATAGTAACGAGAAATGTCTTGTTCTCGAGCAATGTTATCTACCTCTAGAGACTATCGTTTCTTTCGAATACGCGCAATATTTAAGATTCGAACATTTAACAATCGAAATCCAAAAAAAGCCTCGATGTTAGAAGCCGTGCATACTACGTACACTTCATCAAAATAATAAACTTCAAGTAATAGATGCTACTGCTAATCGACTGTTCAAACAGCGTGAATATTGCAACGTTGACAAGATCACTGGTGGCGTAGTACGTATTAAAAGCTGCGTCACAATATCAATGAATACCGAAAATTCGAGGTGGAACTTTGTACACTCGCGTTGTGTACAAATTACGTAACCAGCTTTGCTGAAGTGGTAGTAAAAGAAGAAGAAAAAAAGAAAAACAGAAAAAGAGAAAAAAAACCAGAAAGAATACGGACCGATATCGAGAATCTAGCGAGATCACGGCTTCTCTGCACATTAAGTATTCATCACTCGGCCATCCGAAGAATTCTAATCAGCGGCAGTAGAAAAATGTGAAAAGAATGGAAGCAGTCCCGGCGTTTCAATATATTCGAGACGTGTACGGTGACATATCCAGCTTGATATCAATCCTGATATCGCGAAGAATCTCGACTTGATATCTGACGAAACCGTTACAGGTTTACCGTACGGAAACACGAAACAGCTATAATAAAAATGAATATCACGAAAAATATTCATACGTGGGAATCCGTTTTCGATACGACCATCCGCGTGGAATGTTCAATCGAAATGTCCTAGCGAGTCTTAAACTTAACAGACGTTCAAGTCAAAGGTCAACCGAGAGCAAACATCATGCGTAATGCATCGGAAGTGAGCAAATTGGCACTGTACGATTTTCGTGAGCTGGTGTCTCACGTTGGTCTCTGAATAGGACCAGGTAGGTAGCCAGTTCTCGAACACATAGCCTCTAAGGCACACGTACACCCTGCCGACCCTTGGACGGTCGAGAACGATCGACAGTGAACAGTGGAGACAGTAGAAGAGCAAAGTGTCGATCCTGGCAAAAGTTGGTGGGGTCGGTATTCTACCCCACGTAATGTCTATCTCGTGCGTGCACAAGACAGTGCCGATATAAAACACCGTTTTCTCATCGTGGAACTTCAGTCTCTTCGAAGGTGGCCAAACACGAAGGTACTCTCTTCGGAACCGAAGAATCGAGGAAATTTTTGCTTTCCGTTTCGTTTGCAACTACGCGCGAAAAACTAGTTCACGATAAACGTCAGTGATTCCTTTTATTTCTTTTTCCCTTTTTTACCGACTTGGATCGAGTTTTTTTTTTTTTTTTTTGCCGTTAGATCGACATTAGATTGTCGTCAAATCTAATAACATACGGTGAGTATATGGGATTTTTGTTTTGCGATAGTGTTGTGAAATTGAAACAGATCGGTTGATAGATCGGTTTGAAAGGATTCCCCTTCGAGTCAAGGTTTCGTTTGACTTCGAGCGTGTTGAATCGTGTTGATACTGAGCGAGATGCTAAACATTTATGGTATATCTTATCAGATATGCTAAAATAATTTGTTTTACGATCGATTCTCGTTATGACATGCAACGAAGCAGGTCGAGAAAAAATATTTCGTGAAAGAAGAAAGGCGTCGCTCTTCCAGTTTGTAACATTTTATGACGGACTATTATGGACGTAAAAACGATTTACATAAAATATTTGCGTGAGAATGCGTGCAAAAGAGAGGAACAGTTCAGCGAAATTTAAACGAGTCGTTTTTGTCACGAATTTAACGAGAAGTACTTCGAAATTATCGTGTGTTTTCAGTCATACAAAATGAAAGAGACCTCGCACCTCGCAAATCGTAACTAAAAAGTTTTCAACGTAATCTTGTATTAATCCTTTTGATAATTGTAAAATTTCAACAATCTTATAATACAAGGGAAACGTGAATCCTTGTGAAAATCGTCGGACCAAGAGTTTACTGAATAGAAGCATTCATTGAAAGAAGTGAAGAAAAATTATTAAATTAACTAATTAAATTATTAAATTATGATAAAAATTATGATAATATAGCTCTTAGCTAACGAAACACTAACTGTCATCGTTAGCCTTGTAATTAAAATACACAATCATTGCACAATCTGGAATTATAGCGATATTCATTTGTCTCGCGAATGAAGATCCTTGAATTAAAAAAACGTTGTTACACTTTCGAGATTTCTCGTTCTCGCTTACCTAATCGTCCATGTGATTCGATCAAATTATCTTTGCCAAGTTACCACACGATTCGTCAAAAAGTATCATCGCGGAGTTTCTTCAAACTCGCCAAGCAATCTGCTCTATTACCTCCATAGTGATTCTCGTTCGATCGAGGCCCTTTGAAAAAGCCCTTTGACCGTGACTTTCAAATCTTTATCGACCGCGCTTGTTCGTTAAAACGTTATTTTCTGTTTCCGCGAGAACAGTATTATCGAAAGATGTTCGTTCAAAGTTCTGACACTTCGTACGTCTACGCGCAGATTTAATGCTCGCGCAAGACATCGTAAATTACCTTTACTTAGCACCTCGATCTTTGTTAAAACTCGATTTTTTTCGCTCTGGCTGAAACAAGAATGTACGCGAGAAATAACTGCGTAGTTCGTTTAATTTTCCAAAGTGTAGAGAGAGAGAGAGAAAGAGAGATTCGATCGGTCGCTAAATTTGGTGGGCGATCGTGACAATTGTTGCGCGTGGCGCGTGGACAACGTGATCGTTGTACCGCATAACAGAGGCACACTGCTCACTTTCATCGCTTGAGAAAATAAAGAACGAAGGATGCACCTGACTGGGTAGCAAATAGTGCTTAACAAGCGAAGGATCGTGATTTTTAATTATTATTACTCGCCATGCTTGCACACTCGTCTCGTCAGACATTTTACATCGCCAATCGTCTGTTCTCCAACTGTTGCGTTCCTTCGGCAAACACGTCGAATTCTGGTTTCTGATATGCGCCGTTCCTCGGCACGAGGATAACAAGAGACGATCGTGAGTACTGTTTCCGTATTAAAGCGGGAAATCATCGCTTTAATATGAACGTTTGCTAGTTCCATGCGTAATTTAAATACCGACCTGGCAAGGCTGTTTATCCGCCAGGATTATCCTTGTGTTTCTCTCAGCCGAAGCATTTTTCTAAGTAACGACATTATTTACGTCGTACAGATATTATTCGTACGTGCATTGAAATTAACGTTCCATTGCGACGCAACTTGGCTTCTTTCTTTTCTCTCCTTTTCTTTTCATTCTGCAACTTATTGTTAGCGTGCAAAGTACAAGCACAAATACGCCGATCTCACGTTTGGAAGCAACTACGTTTCATTCATTTTCGAATCAGTGGTGTTTTTTTTTTTTTTTCTGTGTTAAATTATTCGTCAGTATCTTTTGAGGAAAATAATTTTCGTTTCCAGTGTTTTTTGCTTGTCGAAAGAAGGATGACGTTGGGATATAGAGATAGAAGAGCAAAAAAAAAAAAAAATAAGACGTGGAAAAGAGAGGAAAAATAAAACCAGACAAAAACGTCGGCGACAAAAAAGTAGCGAAGGATAATCACGATTTGACTTCATCGATCATTTAGTTTTTTATGATTTACTGATTTCTTTTACGATTACTCGAAGGCAAAAAAATGATACCATTAGATGTTTAAAATAGCGGCTGATGGCGACAATTGACATTGGTCGTATATTCGCGTTTGTGTTGGATTTACAGACCATCGCGCACGACGTGGGAAACGGTTAAACAAATTTGATTCGCCTTTAACGAGCCGAACGACGACATTAACCGACGTTTGTCACCGACGTTTCGCAAAAAAAAAAAAAAGAAAAAGAAAAAAAACAAGTTCCAGTGGAGTCGAAAACACTTTACAGAGATACCATAACGTGAAATCTAGAATTCGCTCATTCGAGCTAGACATCAATAGGGATTCGTTCGATAAGTCGACTAAACTAAGAAAGTCTCCCGATTAGAATTGGACAATAGAATTTTTCCATAATGGAAACGAGTTTTCGAGCAGGTGTAGCAACGTTTTAATCCAACCTAACTCGAACGGTGCAGATGGGATGACGAAATCGTCGCGTGAACGACGACGAGGAATGTCGCTCGCGTTATTTTTCGATTCCGAGCTCGTCGTAATTTCCGAAATTTCGCAAGCTGCCGCGTACAAAATCCATCGCGAAGTGCCATTTCCAACAGCGTGGGAGAACGATGATGAGAACTACATAACGCCTTGTGTCCCAATATCTAACCAAATAGAAACTGGCATTCGCGATCATTAATTGATTATCAATAGATTTATGTAAATCGTTCCGTGTAAATTCGTATTTCTGGGAACGAAACATCGTTAGAAAATTATTTTACGTGTTCGAGTACTACAGGAAGCACCTTTGATATTTCGTGTGTCTATTCACGTACTATTTACTTTATAAGTCTACAGTCTGGTAATCGCTTAGGACATTTAAAAGGAATTTCAATTTCTCGCGAAACTAAACGAACAACAATCTCATTCGCCTGTTTACTAAAAATATTATACATTGAATATTTTATATATTTTCTGCACGTCATCTCCATTCTTGCGCTCCTGCAATTCCGCGCAAATGCATAAACATTTGCAGTCTAATTATAATTTGAATCGACGCACGATAATTAATCGATGATGAAACTCACGAGTTTGAACTTTAAACGCGCGTCGGACGTACACGCCAACAAATAATAGTGATTTCTGGGCTGGCTGAATAATTCGCTCTCGAAAGGAACAACTGTCGGTGACATCGTATGTAACACGCGATGAAATTCAGACCGGGCAACAACAATCGTGTTTCTTCGAAAAAGATATGTGCAACTGGCTGTTTAAGCTGACATTAAAAAAGCAAAATGACGCGTGTGAATATGAATTAAGAGACTCGTTTCCGCTGACATAACGTTACGAGAATGCAATCAAATACATTCCGAGATATAACTGCGATTTTATGATCTATGCGCTACGCGCGAGTGCAAAATAGGATAATTAGGAAAATACCAGTTCAGTCAATTATCGCCCGAGTCCTGAACGGATTTCGATTAAGAAATCGCAGGGCGAAAACAAGTTTGCAATTGTCGTTTAAGAAATCGTGGAAATTAGCTCGCTTATTTTTCTTTCTTTCTTTCTTTTCCTTTTTTTTTTCTTTTTTTTTTTTCTTTTTTTTTCGTTACTTCCGTCTGGCGTCCACGACGTTGATTATATATAAATACGTTAAGGACACTCATTCGCCGATTCTCCATAAAACAACACGGTAAATTCATAAATTCATAACTAACCGTCGCCATTTTCGAATGTTTGCGGAATTGCATTTATTTGTCGAGGACAATCGTGGCGATCGAAAACAGGAAATCAATATCTCACGAGTTATCGAATGCTTTGAACGACCAAGCAGAGAATTTAAAGAAATCAATATAATTTAATAATCAATATAAATCAATCTAATAGATGGCCTAGAAGACTATCGAGTACGTCGAATTGTTGCAACGCACGTAAAAGGGAAGAGGCGCGAGATTTGTTTCAATTTCAAGTTTCAAGAGCGTTCTGGAATTGATGAAATTCGCAGCTTTGAACGATCGAAAGGCAGAGAGTCGGTTTTCAGTTTCCAGTTTTTTTTGACAGAGTGTAAACAAGCCTAATCTGAACTTAAAAAGAAGAGATATACATGTAGATGTGCTTCTTCTACGTGTATGCGTGTCGATGGCGTAAAATATTTGTTTATAAAAATGTACAAAGTTTTGAATCGAAAGGCAAAGAATATCCCCAACCAGCACGTGGCTTTTCGTAACGATATCACGTGTAACGCTTGACGAAATGTTTCACCGACAGACTGGGACGTGTGTACCATACGTCTCTCTTACACCGAGAGAGAAGGTGTAAAGTTCGGTGCGATCACGGTCTCCAACTTGGAGATTTCCTTTCAACGCGTTTCGTTTCACAGCGTCCGAGCGTGTTTTGCTCGTGTTGTTTCCTTGCCCTCGTGGAAGCAGTGGCCACTAGGTTCGAGAAAATCTCAGTGAAAGGACTGGGCTTTTCGTTGCACCATCCAACGTCGATCCATAGGTTCTCGAGCCACCGCCGCGCCGATTTGCGTTGAAAAACAAACGTCGATCGTGAACAGTTTCGATTCGTGCTTCCTTTAATCGGTTCGTTAAAATCACGTTGAATCTTTGAGACATATCACGGGACGACAGATGAGATGGACAGTACGAAGGTGATGAAAAAGTAAACAAATAAATAAATAAACGCGTGAATTTTCATCAACTTTCAGATGGCGCAACTTGTGGCAGCGGTGTACGACAGCTACCGAGATCTGATGGACAACAAGAGCGATCCAAGGGTCAATAACTGGGCAATGATGAGCAGCCCGTTCCCGACTCTCTTCATCTGCCTGTTTTACGCCTATTTCGTCAAGGTTCTCGGCCCCAAGCTCATGGAAAATCGCAAGCCTTTCGAACTGAAGAGGGTCCTGCTCTACTACAATCTCTTCCAAGTGGCACTCTCCACGTGGTTGTTCCACGAGGTATGCGAGTCGCTTTAACCTCTTGCGCTGGAACGACGTGCCGCGCGCGTCGAGAATCTTTTCTCCCAAACTTTCGCGACGTTTTCTCAGTTAAATTATTTTCAAGTACATTTAATTGTAAACCCAGGCAAAACGAACGATAAGCTTGTTACTTGTTAATTAATCATTTCTATCCAGCGATATCGTGCCGACGAGTTCGAAAGAAAACGAAAGCGACGAACTATCGTACGCGAATTTTCGTATTCGGCCACTCGTTACGGTCCGCGCAACCAACAGTTGCCAGCGCAAGGGGTTAAAGAGAAGACGCACGAAATACTCTCTGTGTATATTTTAAAATTCTCTTCGATCGAAACTTCTCACTGTATCGTTTGTTCGGTGCAGTCCTTGGCATCCGGGTGGGGAGGCTATTATTCGTTCCGTTGTCAACCGGTAGACTATTCAAACAGTCCGATGGCATTGCGAATGGCACGTGGCTGCTGGTGGTACTACTTCTCCAAGTTCACTGAATTCTTTGATACTATATTCTTCGTGCTGAGGAAAAAGAATAACCAAGTCTCGAGGTTGCACGTGATTCATCACGGAGTTATGCCACTATCCGTTTGGTTCGGTGTGAAATTTTCTCCTGGTAAATATACTTTTTACTCGGTATTTACTGTATTATGATCCTTTCATCATCCGTGAATCGACATGCGCAATTGAGCAATCGACGACGAGATGCTGTACGACTTAATTTAGGCACAGTACCGGTCAAAAGTTTCAGGTTCTATAACTCGTTTAACGACACTTGCACATTTTTTTGGCTATAATGCACAACGACAGTTAGCTAGTCACAACGCGGTAAAATACTCTAGAAATCCAAAGAAATCACCATTGACGTTGGAAGATCCGTGTATTTCACAGAAAGAACGTGTAACAACTTTTGATCAGTAGTTTTTCATCATCTCGTCTGATTTGTAACAATTGATCAACGACGTGTTTACCTAAACAAAGACTTCAAGACAAAATACCTCGTTGAGTAACAAAACTCGGAAACAGGAGACCAAAGCTTAAAAAGTCGATCGACAGAAAATTGCAATCGGTTACTATTGACATTAATTTACGACAGTTCAATCGTCTAAAAATCGACGACGTGTTTACCTAGCAAAGACTGTAAGAGAAAAAAATACCTCGTTAAATATGAAAAATCGGGGAGAGAAGACCGAAGGTTAAAAAGTCGACTGACAGGAAATTCGGCGTGCTGAAACGTCCCGAAATGAATCTCGAAAAAGTCACTTCCGTTCTTTCGTAATATCATCATCAACGGTGTAACACGGAATCGAGCGTTAATCGAAAAATAAAACGCTTTCACTATCTCCCACGTTTCCGTCGTTCGTTCACCGTGATACGTAACACGTAACGTCAATTCCGATCGATACTCGCCACACGAGCGGGAAAAGCGTGTATCGATGACCAGTCGATCCTCAGTCAGTCAGAACAGCTCAAAGACAGAACGTAACAACCTATTTAATTAAATGACGTAAAAATCGCGTTTCCCGACGCGATTTCGACATTTTAAACTCAATTACGGGGGGGTATGACAGTGATCGTAACGGCAGGGGACTTTCATTTGCAGGCGGTCACAGCTCGTTCTTCGGCATGCTCAACACATTTGTACATATCGTGATGTACTCGTACTACTTTCTGGCCGCCCTCGGCCCAAAGATACAGCCGTACCTCTGGTGGAAGAAATATTTGACCGTCCTGCAGATGGTGCAGTTCATCCTCGTGATACTCCACGCTTTCCAACTTCTCTTCATCGAATGCGACTACTCGAAGGTGTTCGTCTGGTGGATCGGAATGCACGCGGTCATGTTTTACTTCCTGTTCCGCGACTTCTATGTACAGACATACAAGAAGAGTAACGCGGCTGCCAAGACGTCGGTGAATAAGGAAACCAAGGTGAACCAAGAGAACGCGAAACAACCGAACAGCGAGAAGGAGAACGGCAAGATGTACGCGAACGAGTACAAAATGGCGACCGGCTACATCTCGGACAATGGCCTGAGGAATCGCGTATTTATCGACAACCGCGGCTTCCAGGAATAAGATCGCAGTCCGTCATTGCAGTACCAGTTTTCACGCGATACGGTTTCCCGGCTGATTCGGTAACTCTGCGAAAAAAAAATCGGCAAAGGGCCGACGAGCAATCTGCATACGTCGGTGCTGCCAAACGAACGAATTAAGTTCGACACACAGTGTGTAACAGGTTTTATTCGTTCGTTTGCCGAGTCAACTGTTTGTTGTTGTACGTAACACACGGTGAAATTACCGATTCCGGTCGCTTTCGACATTCAGTTTCGTGAATCGGTCGAGTTTCTTTTATTTTATTTACAACGGCTGTCAGCCAGTGGAGTGTAAGAAATTAATCTTGCTCAATCCGTTGAATCTCTTTCTATTTCTTTTTGTTAAATTATTAGAAGCAGATGCTGACACTGCGGGAATAATTACGTCATTTAGACGTGAGAATTTGATAAAAATCCAATCGATAATAGGATATTTACAGCCAATATTTCTTCTGTTTCTCTATTTTCGTAGTGACGACAGTATCAAAAAGTATATGTATACCGAGAAATGTACTCACGTTCAGTTTTGTTCAAACTGCGAACGGTAGAGTAGACAAATTACGCAGAGGAGAGTGGCATTCTTTGAAACGTCGTCCGTATTTTTCAGTTTTTCATTTCCAAAAGGACTTCGATTTCAAAGATTGAACCGAATGTATGAAAACCGACTGTATCGTGCGAACCGGATTACGACGGACAACGGCGAATTCATATCGGACAAGTTCACCAAGCAGGCAAATTTCTTTTCGCAAATCACGCCTGATATCAAGGATACATTAGATTAGATTCAACCTTCGATTAGTTCACACCCATCAACTAAATTATCGATTACCTCCGGTACGGATGAGGGTACGTTTGAATGAGATCTTATACATATTTTCACGCTTTCTGTGCGAGTTCTCTGTATGTCGTGTCTATAGAGTGTATACGGTATGCGAGTATGTACATATGTATATGTAGGCGAATGTACAAGTTAGAAACATAAGGAAACGGGCGGTGATACCTAACTGTTACACTCAACTTTCGCCTCGAGTTAAGCTCACGAGAGAGTTGCCAAATTTTTCCTTCGAGGCTCTCCACATATCGTTCTTCTGTCACTTCAAGGTTGACTGAATGTAGGATGTATATGGAAGGTGTCACCGACACGGCGAATCGCGTGATCGAAACTTCGCCGCGATCCAGCGTTACGCTCTTGTTATTGCTCAAATCATCCATTACGAATGAAGCTTCTTGTCCTTTTTCTCTCTACGACTCTACGTTGTAAAAATCTTAGTCACTCGGATTAGCTGCGTCGTTCGATCATCGAGGTAAATCTACGACGAATATAGAAGTTAATCTCACGATTAAGAAGTCGCGAGCAATCTTCTCGCATACGAGGTTACAAGGTTGTTGGTCATTTGGATAAATTCGATCGATCTTTATCGAGAACGACAGGGGAAAAAACCGCTCATTCGGCCATTGGAAACGCTTTGTGATCAAAAGTCGAACGAACTTTGGAATGCTTAGAGCTGTTAGAACGCTTGGTTGTCGATCTCTTTGTGATACGATTGCTTTTGTCCTCTCTCGGTAGTTTTCTGTGATAGTCACGCGGGTCTATTTAGAACTGATTTCTAACAGGAGGACATACACAAGCGTTTTCTCTTGCCCATGTATGAAAAATAATGATTCGACGTTGGGATTCGTGTTTGCCCCAATTTGGGAGAAGTCGATTGAATGTGACGCGAAGTATACATTCAGTATGTAGAATAAAGAAATCTGTATAATACATTAGCAAGAAATGAGAGATGTATTTATTTTATGATTAAATTGTACGATTTTTAATGAACAGATTTGTTTCCCACCGTCACGTCTGGTATCTTGATCTCTTTTACTTTCCTTGATCCTTTACATTCACGTTTATTCATTCAATATTGTCACACGTACTGTGTTAGCGAGTTGGTCGAAATTTACTCATTTGAAATTTATATTTATTTATAAAAGAAAATCTGCTGAAATCAATCGTAATCTCTACACAGTTGTTAGCTCGCGTTTGGTTAAAATTTAACGTTCTAACAGCTAGAAACTTATAAATCAAAAAAATTATAAATTAACTTATAAATTATAAAATAAAATAAATAAAATAACTTATTGTAAATTATAAAATAACTTATGAATTAAAAAAATAATAAATAAATAATTCAGACGAATTATACGTTAAACCGTGAAGAAGTAATTACGTCAAGATCCAAAACGAGAATTGAGGCAACATTAAATTAAAAAATTCACTGTTTCAGTTCTTTTTAATTTCGCTCGAGATTAAATGAGCAGATGCAGAATACTATTGTATTCGTACATATTAGATTAAATGAGCAGATGCAGAATACGTATGATTCGTACATATTAGATTAGCATCTACAATTGGAATCTTTTAGATTCCAAAAAATCATTTTAAAGAAATTGTACATCTGATTCTGTTACTTTGATTTACTTTAATTAGCCCGCAGGCTGTTTTAAGGTTTAGATGAAGTTAGTTTTAAATCTCGTCGCCAAGAGGACGTTGAAGTACATATATACATATATACACATATGTAGTGTATTGAACTCGGATGTCGAAAGCATCTCGGGACATTCTCCCTAATTGACGTTTGTACTCGGGTCTACATTTTTGCACGCGAAAACTATGGAGCAAGTTTATTGGTCTCTTTTACTTTCTAAAAATATGAGGTTAAGTAGATGGATAACATACTTTCTGATATGACTATTAATTACAATATAAGTAGATACGATCAAGACAGGTTAGAAACAAATAGACGTATTTTTTCCTTTGTCCAATTTAAAAGTATAATCTGAGAGAATTGACAGTGCAAAGAGCATGAGTGAATTAACAATGCCACTCATCTTTGTACTTGCCTATCAATTTTTCAAATTTACCCTCGTAAATTGAGTATATTACGAAACGACCGTATATTGATCGAGATTCTATATATTTATACAGGCAATGTCATTACATATGATCATGTACATATATATATATGTCTTAAGTTACAATTACTACAGAAATAGTCATTTTTAATTAAATAAATTATTTCAGGAAATTAAATCCAACATGCATCATCGTTACTTTGTCACTATTTAAATTAATGTTACGTGTGAATGATAGCATTCTTTTGCGTTTTATTCTAAGGAATTTTTGTTGCATCACTTAATGCAGCCAAAGGAGCCGCAAACAACTACTTAATATATGATCATATATTAACTGATCACATATTAACAGCCTATAATATGATTAATGTTGCATATATTTACATCTGTGTACATAAATTAGTATTCGTTAGCATTGCATTAAGAAGACATCACACGTACGGTGTGTATTTTCGTAATTTTCCACACTTTTTTATTTTGTTTATCAATAATACATAATAAAAGTATTGCATAAGCAACAAGGCACTTTGTTTCAAGAGGCAGTATTGTGAAACAGAGAAGTTTAAGCTCGTACCAAACGGATATCAACAACCCGACGAAATATTAAGATTTCTTAAATTTCTGTCGTTTAATTCTAACATTCGAAGTTCAACAACAAGATAGCGGAAAAAGAAAAGTCGTGCAACAAGTTTCAAGAGGTTGTTATAACGAGGAGACTTCAATCTTCGAGAACGTGGCGGATTTAAGTGTGTAAAAAAAATTTTTCAACGTTTCTACGGACATTTGAATTTTTGCAATTGTTTTGAAGAAAATTATCTCCACCTTTTCACTCGCTACGTGATGTTAAAATATCTTTGAAGATACAAGTGAATTGTTCTAAGATTTTCTTTTTCCACGAAGTTATGACAGTTGTCGAATATCGATAAATTTTCATAAGGATCGGACCATCCAATTCTTTTTTGTGTCTCATGTTCTGAAATATCGACATAATAAAATCAGTGGTTTTTTTAGCGCACTCTATGCTTAAACAACGGCGAATTGCGGAACTACATCAAGTAAAACGATCGAAGTTGATTAAGTAGTGAATGCGTCAGAAATACGATTTTTGAAATCCCTTACAGTGTTATCAAATTTTCAATACGTGAAGCTAGTAACTAACCGAAATCATTATACTATATATCACAGTTTAGTATACTATACACTCACAGTATAGAAAAATTCCATCCACGTTCTACGGTATTACAATGATTCTTTTTCATGTAATAAATTAAAATTCTAAAGTTATAAGATAAAATAAAATAAAATATTAAAGAATCTATCAGCTCAAATAAATTTTATCAACAGCTCGAGAAGAAGAAAAAGAAGAATTATTCATGCTTAAGATTCCTGATGAATGACCACTGCACAGCTCTTATAGCTGCATCAGGTGATCTAGGAGCAAGAACAGCCTTCCACGAATTCAGTGGGCATTTCATAAACGCAACACTACTTCAAGAAACGCGATCATTCACAATACTAACAAGCGAAAAAGTAATTGGAAATCGATGAAATAATGTCGCAACACTAACTCTAAAACCAAATTGAATGAAAATTATTAGTAACAAAGCTACTGTATGAACAAAAAGCTACTTTAAATAGTCTAAGACTCTAAAATTAAATTAAAAACAGTGACTCAGTGATAATTTAATTTAAAACAAAAGGAAGCAAAATAAATTTTACAATGTAAAACTCTAAAATAATTCCAAAAATTTACAATCAAAATTACTAAAGACAATTACGGTATCATAATTCGCAACTCTAAAGCAAACACGATTACCATTTCATCGCAACTCTAATTTAAACCGTAATCAATTCAATAAACAAGTGCGGAATTATTTCGTAACTCTAACTCAACCCGTAGTCGATCTCTCGCAACATTAACAGGAAATATCGCGAATTGCCCAAAACGACGATGAACGATGATGAAGAAGAAAAAAATAATACAACTACAAACACTAAAAGAGCATAGTGACAAAGTAGTAACAAGAATGATCTCCCATGCTCTGGAATCATTTAAATGATCCAGAGGATGAGAAGCCATTTGTTGTGACCCTCTTCGCGGCAGTTTGCCGGGCCTCTTCGGCTTCAAGCCTCTTCTTTCTTCGAGCGCAATGCCCGCTGAAACTTACGTCTAGCTCGAGTCTTTCTGATCGCAAACCAAAACATAACTTATAAAGGTGAAATGAAAAGACAAACCGCGGAAACTGACCCCAGTACACATGGACAGCTATCGATCATAGTGATCGTTGTCCGTTTGCACGTGCGTGCTCGAGCAATACCTAGACAAACGTTCGTTTCGGGACCTAATCGCGACCTATCCACGACCGCGATCACGATACTAAATTCAAAAAATCAAAGAGTAAAACCAGAAACATGGCATGCTCCGTTTGTACCAGTTTCACTGTCGATTCTTCAAATTAGATTTCCTGAAACAGGTTGGACACGCGAAAAAGGGACACGCGACTAGAGACTGTGCCAACCTGCCCGGCCCTACCTACTTATATAATTAAACACAGGCATACCAGAAAGTAAGCTACCTATCCTAATCAGACGCCCTATATTTAAAAAATGGCAAATCAGGCACACCAACACATTCACTCAACGGTTCTCACACATACCACTCGGGCGCATACCTAAACTAGAGAGGACGTCCCGGGACGCCTCCGACACCCGAGCTTAACACGCAACTTTCACACTCTAATTTTACGTACCATTTTCCTGAAATCGACTGACAATGGCTAGCGATCATTGCGTAAATCGTAACTAAAACGCGTTTTACAGCTATATGTGAGATATTAATAACTGAGAAAAAATACATATAATTTTCATAGAAATTACATGTGACTTGGAATCATTACTATAATTGATCATATAATTAATAGTATAATTGTAGTGTATTTAATGGGTATTATTATAACAAATTCATATTCTTTCAATTAGTGCATAAGTATTTTAAATACTACAACTTATAAAGAATGAAACGATAAAAGCGACGCAATTCCACATCCTAACCACACATACACATGTGGAAAATACGTCGTGCACGATACGCTAACACAATGTCAGTCGCTGAGAAATTTTTTATAAAATTACAAACTACGGTCCATCGTGCCCAATGTCTTTCACCCATTCAAGTAGCACCTGAGTGAGATCCTGAGAATGAACACGGAAGGGATTAAACCTGAAAATCCTAAACTAAAAAAATGATTAGTTTATGTAATTTGTATCTAGCGGACTGTTGCATTGTTTTATTTCAAACTGAATTGACTCTACTCTTTCAGATATTATTGAAATTACAAAAGAATAAAGACAATGAATTGAATTTGTTAAAAAAAAATATTACGAACAATCTAATAATTGACTCAAACGATCAAAATCAAACAATTAACTCCAAATTAAATTAAATGTTAATAGAAATAATCTCAGGCGACTTCTTCATCAAAGCACATTCTCGAAAATGCGGAAACAGCGTTCAAATTTATTGCTTTGATTGAAAAATCTGCCTGTCGCGAAATATCTTCTTGCACATAAAATTTCATACATTTTTGCGGAAAAAATTCTAATCTATTAATCAATTCTACTAAAGTTCATAATTATAAAACTCAATTAATTAAATTATTTGATTATAAGAGGAAAGATGAAATTGAAAATTATTTATTATTATAACGGTTATTAATTATTAATTATCATAATAAAATATATCACCAGTATTAAGTAATGACTGCATCTTTCATAACAATGAAGTCGGAGGGTATCCGTCTTCTCTACTATGAAATGCTCAAAGGAAATAATTTTAATAATAATTATTCATAAATATTTATAATTTATATATGATATTTATAATTTATATTATGATATTTTGATTTTATAAGTAAAAATACTGGAAATATGTATATCATAATTGTTAAACTCACGATGTGCAAGAAGCCCTATCCTGATCTAATACATAAAAAACCTGAAAAAAATGTTACTACTCACGGGTATAGGAAATATCCGCGGTCACTATGCTCGTCAAAAATTCTACGTATACAACCAGTCACTCGTGCCGATTTGGACCTTTCATCCTACGACATGATTGAGTGACCGGAGGAATATAAATGCATGCGACTCACGCGATAGATACGAAGATACTGCACTGGACCAAGGAAAGTCGTAAAGATCAGCAAGATCCCAAGAAGACCAAGCAGATATCACTAAGAATCTCATGGTGAAAGTTTCTAAAAGTATAAAGACACATTGTTATTTGTAAAAATTTAAATCTTCATAATGATAAAAATTGGGAGTCTAATAATTTAAAATGTTTTTATTTTATAGTTATAATTTTATATTTGATTTCCATGGAAAGAGAACTATAGAGAATAAAATTAATTCAAGTACAATGTGCTAAAGAACTTACATTCTTAGCTTTTGAAATATCGTAAGATTATTAGAGGATAAGGGGAACTGAGGAGGCATCTGAGAATCTGCAACAAAACATAATACTATAAAATTTGTATTTAAAGGCAATCTTAAAATAATGAAATTATCTGTTGGAGATAATGAAAGATTCTTACATTCTTGGCTTTAGAGCCACCATTGAATATTCCCCAAAAAGTATAAAAAAATTTATGCTGTGAAGCGTCTGCAACAAAACGTACATCAAACATTATACTTTGTTGTTAAATTTGAAAAATTGAGTAAACTGAAGTACAATATGTAAAACTACTTACGATCTTGATCTCCTGAAGAGGCCTTATCCTCTTGAGCACTGACTCTAGTACCGAAAACGAATACTGAACAAGAGAAAATATGAAAAAAAAAAAAAAATAAAAGACTATCAATGCGAGCAATTAAATAACAATCAGCGGACTCACTGACTCTAATTTCGCGAATTATAGTTTAAACCAATTAATTTAATTTAATAAGAGCCATTTTGCTCAGAAAAATATTAATATATTACGCAACAAACACTGACTCTAGCGACCGCATTGCGCGCGGTCACAAAAATTTTCTGAAAACAAAGCTAATTAATTGGAAGGAGAGAGGGGGGAGGGAGGGATGAAAAGTACGTTTATTTAGAAAATACTGCTATTTTTCTAAAACATGATTATAAAGAAACTTGAATATGTATTAAAGATATTAGTTGTAAATTATAAAGTATTTCTCAATATTCAATACTGCAACTGAAAGACGATTATTATATTTTGAAATTGTATTCTGAATGTTCGTTATTAGAATAGGAAGTATGCATATTAGTAATATATCACGTCACGTGTCATAAATATTCGAAAATGTTTGTATAAATCAAAATTTTACATCATTTTAATATATTTAAGAAACAATATCATGAAAAACGCGTGTGAAACCTTGCTTTCAATCGTTTCAATTGCGCGTCAGCGTTCGAAAAAGGCAAGTATAATAAAGTACATATTGTATAATACAGTACGAAAACTGAATTTAATTATCTACTACAAGAATATATATCCATTTGATAGTACATGTATACCACTAGCTAGTCTCTATAGTAAAATATTAATTGATTTAATCTTTTCATCTTTGTATTCCAAATAATTACGAAATTACGTATTGTGAAGTATCTCAAATATATATGAATTGTATACCAAATGTTACCCAAAATGAATAAAATGTTGCCAAATGTCCATAAGAGTTCATCAAATTGTCCATTAATGATCGTGGCATCTATACGTTCAATGGTACTTCTGCAATCAAGGAATAACCTGTACAAAGAGAAGCCAAAATTCAGAACAATGTGTCAAAGGCAAACGTGTAATAATGAACGATAATTAATCTCAAATTCTATTAAAAAAGACGTACGAGATGATCTGTCGGTCACCGTACGAGCGAAATCGATGATTGAAGAAAGATTAACGCGAAAAGTTTCAAATCACTACACGATTTCGTTATCGTGATGTTCGATGAATCGTTAAACATACGCATATTAATTAAATGATATTATTAATGAAGTATAAATGGAAGTAAAAGAGTGTCGAAGAAGCGACGCTATCGAAAAGACGCCACGAAAAGTTACGATTCTAATGACGACTTATAAGTACGTGTTGTTGTCACGAAATTCGACAGCAGAATGACTCTCCACGTCTCGTCTTGCAATTGGGAAAATAGTAGGGAATGGGGTGATCTTGAACAGGCACGACAATTAAAAGGAATATAAACATTGTGCTGACAAGTCTCGTTCAGTCGAAACTGTTTATTTGCGACGCCGAAGAAACAGGTGCGACATTAGAAAATACATATGCATTACATATGCACGTAAGCGTTGTGTTTATGTTGTTTTGAACTACGAATTTCAAGCCTTACTTTATTTGAGAACTGAACAATTTCATTATATTACACAGCAAGATTATTATTTTAACTATTAAATACGTACATTTATGATAAATTATTGTTGAATTTAGTATTAGAATTGTTAAGAATTACGCATGAAGTTAAAGAATAAACAAATAAGTAGAACAGTATGTGTATAATAAAATACGTGTATATATATATATATATACATACATACTATGCTAACAGTTATTTATAATTTTATACCAAAATTTAATTTCAATTCTAACCAATGGAAATATTGTAACTTGACTAATTCATTGTTATATATATATATATATATATATATATATATATATATATATATATATATATATATATTAGTCAAGTACAGGGTTACATTATATACGTTATATTAGTCAAGTACAATATTTCCATTGGTTACAATTGAAATTAAATTTTGGTATAAAATTATAAATAACTCTCAGCATAATATGCTCTGTTTAAATGTTTATACGTTATTATTTCTTTAATTGTTGAAAATTATATATAATAGTTATTTAGTTAAATCTTACCTTGAGTTGAAGCCAAAAATGCATGTTTTATCTTAAAAATTCACAATACAAACACAAATCTAACAACTATTAATTTAAATCTTTACCTCAGAACTTCTGTATGACACTTTTCTGGATGATTTTTCTGAATAACACTTCCTTCTTTACAGTTGAGGTGTGCTTCCTTCCGCCATTAAAGGTCTGCTCTCCCGCTTAAAAATCGATCATGAGAAATATCGATTGACGTTCGAGAATTGTAGGAAGCGTATTCCATATTTCACCGTGATGTGGAGCTGTAATCACGCGTTTCCTACGAAATAATTTGGAATAAAAAATAAGACACTCTGATCTAAATCAAATACACAAAATTCATAAGAAATTTTCAATAAGGAATGAAAATATTCACACACTTGATGAAAAATTGTCACAACTTTAAATTGAAACATGAGAAATTTTATTATATTACGCAATAGAATTATTATTTAGGTCATTAAATACGTAGATCTTTAGTAAATTATTGCTGACTTTAGTACTAGAATTGTTTTAGAATTACAGTATAAGGTTAAAGAATCAACAACTGAGTAGAAAATATTACAATAGAAGTAAAAGCAAATTATATGCATAAAAAGTTAGTTATATTACAAGGTTATAATATTTGTATCGGTTAGAATTGAAATTAAATTTTAATATAAGATTATAAATAACTTAATAAATAACTTAATAAATAGCATAGTATGTTCTGTTTAAATGTTTATACGCTATTATTTCTTTAATTGTTGAAAATTATATGTAATAGTTATTTGGTTAAATCTTACCAGTCAGCCAAAGTTAAGAGTTAAAGCCAAATATATATGTTTTATCTTAAAAACTCACAATACAAACACAAATCTAACAACTATTAATTTAAATCTTTACCTCAGAACTTCTGTATGAGACTTTTCTGGATGATTTTTCTGAATAACACTTCCTTCTTCACAGATGAGGTGTGCTCCTTTCCGCCATTAAAGGTGCTCTCCCGCTTAAAAGTCGATCATGAGAAATATCGATTTACGTTCGAGAATCGTAGGAAGTGTAGTCCACATTTCACCGTGGTGTGGCGCTGTAAACTTCGATTAATTTAAACTCAATATGCGCGCATTTCGCACGAAATGTTAACTTGGAATAAAAAATAAAAAATTGCAATCTAAATCAAATAGAAAAAATTCATGAGAAATTCTTAAAGAAAAAACGAAAATATTCATACGCTAGATAAAAAATAGTCAGTACATTAAATGTTATAATTTCGTAAAAGAAAATTGTAGAACAATTAACTTGATTTTATTTTAAAGAGTGACAAATCTGGCCAGATCTATTTATATACCTCATCTGTATTATAATGCAAAACCTGATTGTGAAATTCCTAGTTTACTGACTATCAAACTGACTGATCGCTGCTTTAGCCTCAGTGGATAATTTCAATCCTTTACTTACCAACATAATGTAAAATAGAATCACAGACGAGGAACATGTGATAGGATTAAAGAACTTAGAAATTTAAAAAATTTCAAATTTAAAAAGTATAATAAATCACGAAATTGTTATTTATCTTAGTAATCACTATTAGCATTGATACATTACACGTATTTTTCAGATTATGCAAATCACATGCTTTTCAGATTATTATTATTATTTCGCAATTAGCTCGTTATTATCCATACTCAATAAATTCAAGGAGCAAGTGAGATATAATTGAGATCTAGCATCATCCATAGCAGAGACGGTCCAATTGCCAATTTCACCAAAGAATAAAGCAAACACTAATTTTCGTTGGTGAAAGTGACAACAGGTGAAAGTCGTGAACCATGCGACATAAAAGAGATAGTGGGTAAACTACACATATGTGCATCACAAATGCATGGGTGTACATGCTAATATATTACGACAAATCTATCATACTTTTACCGTCGATTACGATAGATTGCGTCCGACCAACGCGAAACAACCATTTGTAATCAAAGAAATTAGATATTATCAATAAATCGATCAAATACGATCTATTAACGATACAGATTTACATATTGTGAAAATTTTTCAATAACTTTTTTACTATTCTACATATATATGCAATTTACGTCAACCAATTAGCAATTGAAAAATGTAACGAACTTCAAAGATACAAGTATGCAGCGTGGATAGAAGTTAATAACTAATTTGACTAATTTGCATAATTAAAATATGCACTTTTATGACTAATTTGCATTATTAAAATAACTGTATAATTTCTAGTGAACTTCAACAAACAGCAAAGCGAATAAATTATTATATCGAATTCATACGATCGAATGGAAAAAACGAAAAAAAGAACAATTGCCAATTTAACGAATACTCTTTGCCCGATTTCGAATAATGCGACTGTAATGCGAGTCATTAATTTTTATTCAAACTTTATACTGAATACAATGCAACACAAAGTCAGTTATATGAATGATAAAAGCTGCTTTAATCGAACAATGATCCGATCGTTCTTTTATGCACTTCATTAAGTATGTCAAGGGATTTGAGCGGAGTTTAAAGGAATTTACGTAAAAAAATAAAGCAACAATTTGTACTTTCATTTAAATATATTAACAACAAATAATTTCCTATCAAACAAATAATTAAATTCTAATGAAGCTTCGAGATTGTAATCTTATTTCAAATCGCAATGATTATTTTTTCTACACAATTTTTTATTGATATCATGATCGATGTATCAATACGAAGTTAATATCGTTTTTATGGTCGACATTTTATTTTAATTTTATGACTAATTTGCATAATTAAACGAAATGAAATATTTCTACATTATGCATAATTCATAATATAAAATATGTGAAAATCGTCACATAAAAATAATGATCGTTTAAGTTATTTTCATACGAAGTCGAAAGAAAGAAAATATGCAGTGCGTTGTAAGAAACATGTCTACTATAAAAAGAATTGGAAATATTATATTAAACACGTATAAGATATGATCAATGTTATTTATTTACAGATTACTACGTTATTTCATGAGATTTTAGATGAAATTAAATCAGGGCGGAATAATGCACATAATATGTTGTGCACAGTTTAATTCACTCAACTCGCAATTATGAGAATAATTCTTCGTGAAAAAAATCATGAAATAATTTCTGTTTGGTATCAAGTGTAATTGCACGATGTGTCGTCGTATTACAAAAAAGACTATCTTCATAATGAGTGGAATGTAGGTCACAACGTGGACGATGTAGGACAATTGAGACAGAAAAGTCGTCGAGAGGAAATTAGGAGCATTGACTCGAAAGTACAATACATCCGGGCACAATTTGTTCACGATTATAGAAATAATCAAGTATCGGTTAATATCAATTGTCTCACCGAGGAAACAGCTATTACGTTGCTGACGATTTAAGGATCTATTTTAAAGACATCTAGATGTTTAAAGATATTCTGGTGTTGATAGTTTTCAAGTCTTTTCTGACATGTTTTATAATGAATAATTACAATAATTATAATTAGAATAAAACAAAATTCCCGCATTCCTAAGGGAACGTACATACCTAAATGTATTTCACGTAAAACGTAATTTTCTACATTTGCTGAATATATTCAATCATTTCGCGAGTAAAAGAATAAGTACAATTTTAGGTATGACACAGGAAAGTTAGACAACGTATTGAAAAATTTCAGTGAAGATTGTTCGTCGCTGAACGATGTGAAAATATGTTAATTCGTCAAAAGTCTTTTGGTTTGCTTTTCTCAGCAAACAAAAAGATTTTATTTTGTGAACTAACGTCATCATGTATTTTTGCAAATACATTGTTTATCAAAAGGCTTCAAACGGCTTCTTGGAAAATCACCTAGAAATGTTTGCCTTTCTTCGATGTGCAATAAAAGAAAATAAAAGGAACGATAAATTAGCGTTTATAATTGTCAGATACAAAGAATCGAATAATTATTGCAATCGAGATTTTATAATTCATATAATTCACGAAGAGCCTTGAACCTTCTCTATGAAAATATTGTTATTAATGATCTCGAATAAATATCAATTTATTAGATAATAACATTATCAATTACAGATAATATTCAATTACAGATAATAACATTATCTTCCTGATGCACGATGGCTTGATATCGTTCGAATTAAGAGAAATACCTCCAAGTAATTTCTTTATTTGTAAACTTCCAGTAATACGCAAGTATTGTAAATAGAATTCATTTATAATCTCAAAATAATCTATTTATCTTCCACCAACATAAAAATACCTAAACTAACTGATCAAAAAAAAACAAACTTTCCCTTGAATTTCCTGGATCAAAATATCGCGCGTGTGTGAGAAAATATGAACTAAACATTTTGACTTTAAATTCATTTAAATCTGATAAAATTGGAACAGTTGATATTTTGTGGATTGTAAGCCAATGTGAGAGGCCAACGTAGAGAGAAAAAAAAAAAATGTTTTACTTGAATCGAACGAAAAGACAATAAAGAAAATTCAAGCATCATATAACTGGAAAGCAGCCAGTCTGTCGAGAGACAAAATAATTTGCAAGCATCTTGTGACCGTGCAAACAGGTAAGAATCACTTTCGCCGATCGTCAAGACTGGAATACCACTTGCATAACCTCCCGCAAGACTGTTACACAGCATTACACTTTCTGCTCTTTTCTCTGCCAGAGTTACTCTCATTCCACAGTTACTCTTTTCTGCCTTGATCAGCCGACAAATAGACGTCGCGCAATTTCGCCCCGGTCACGTTTAAAAGCTTTAACGCTTTGCATCCTTTTCGAGCATGCACAGGAATTTCTTAGGCGTGATTTTTTCCAAAAATATATTACGTAACGAGATCGTAAGTAGATCGTAAATTTACATTTTTCTTAAGTACAGATTTGTTATACTTTTATATATTTTTGCATATTATCTGCGTTCTATATATTTTTACATCCTCAAATTTCCCATAAATACATAAAAATCCCAAGTTTGATAATAAATCTAACAGAAAATTTAACAATAAAACAAACTAATCGTTGATCATTAGACTGTGGGTTCTTATGAACAATTTTTAGAAGGAAAAGTGCATGTATAATCTCCACAAATGTATCGAGTATTCAAATCATCAGTATTCAAATGTATCTTTACATTATTAATGTATCATTACATTGTTCTGATTTCATCAGTTATTTATTGGCTTCATTACTCAGAAATTTTCACGTTTCGTAAGTGCGATGCATTTTAATTTTTAACAAGCAAACAAAAATTTATACCTCGTAAGGAGACTCCTGGTGTAAAATAGTCGGAGAAAGATGAAGTAACTCGAGCTCGTAGAAGTTCTTCGAAACCACGACCAAAGTCTTAAATTCTACAATAATAAAGGAAAAAAGATATAAGTACGTCGAAATAAATACATAACGCTTGAAATACAATTAAATCATTAGAAAATACATAACACAATTAATAAGGGGAAGAAAGAGAAACATAGATATTTTATCAATAATTTTTCTGTTTCTTTTTTCGTGACTTTCTCTAAAATGAAGCAAAAATGAGAAAATCTATTCTAAATCTAACCTATTCAAAAGCTAAACAATAGAAACTAGAAGATTAAAGAATTTTCATTATTAATAGACATTAAAGCCTATATAACACAAGCTTTTATTTATATATTTTACTAAAAATCATTTAGATGTCTAAAACTACAATTGCATGGATGAAGCAGCTGCATTGCGAGGTTGCAATGAAGAGATTAAACGCGTTAGCATCTAGAAGTAGTAATAATAACTCGTGTCACGCGGTATTTTTAATTTTAATTTCTCTATCAAAAACAACTTTCTGGTCTGTTCTATTACTCGTTATAGTTAGATTTTTTCCTAGACTTTTAGTTTTAACTGAATTGAAAATGATTGATGGCGTTTTGGGTATCGAACATTCCTTTGAACATTATTTAAACATGTTTAAATTTTGATAATATTAAAAAAATATGCATCATTATATTTGTAAAAGCTGATAGAATCAGTTTCCGCAAAAAAAAGTTTACAGTTAAAATGTTCCAAAGTTCAAAATTCGAAATTTGTTTTTCAAAATTAATTTTCTTAGAAACTACGACTGATGGAAAAAAA